GTTTATTTTAGTCTGTTTATGGTACACATAAAACTCAGAAGTAGGTCCACTGGTGGTTTTGGAGAGTAGATAAAATGGCTATATTTGTGTTGTAGACAATGTGACCCCTGGTTCCTCTCACCACCACTGTAAAGAAACCTGAGTCTGTAAGTTTCTCTACAGTGAACCATTTCACATCAAACCACTCTGAATTACTTTGTTTTCACTGCCACAACAGAATTTTGGAAAAATTTACCCCTTTAAACTATTAAATGAATGTGAGAGTTATTTCATTTCAGACTTAACAGCATCTGACATTGTAATTTACTGTGAGCACATTTAGATTACTGTGTTATAACTGTCCCCCCACTGACACATTTGTCTGGATTTATATGTAATTTATTTAGTATCAGATCAGTGATCACAGAAGTATATGTTTTATTTATTGATTGAAGGGGTATTTCATCCATTATCCAAAAATAAATGTGGTAAATTCATGGTGGAGAGGTTCATGCAGGGTGTCGTAAAGCAAAAGTAGTCTGATAGTCAGATTTTCCACTATATTTTTTACATATAAACACTCAGACACATGTAGATTCACTGGTCATTTTGGATAGTAAATATTGTATGGATATTGTGACTCTGGGTTCCTATCCCCACCACTAAAGGGGCAGTAAGTTTCTGTAGAAAAGAGCATTTCGCATCAGACCACTCTGAATGACTCTGTTACATCTGAACCATTTAATTATGCAGAATTTAAGGGAAGGAAAGTGAAAAACAGAACGCTTCCCCCCAAAATATTTTTGCCAGTATCTACGCAGTGGAGATTTGTACTTAGTTGAAACTTCTCCCGAGGGTGATATCACACTTGCTTAGTATATACGGCACTGTGACACAAGATGTTTAATGTGTTAGAACTGTTTTGCTGTTACTACTGTACTCAGTCTTCCTGCATAGGAGATGCTATATGTGCGTTTATAAAAGGAAGTACAGTGGTTTGCACAAACTTGGAGACTTTTTTATATCAGATCAAGCGATGTGACAAGCAGTGGGTTGGCAATAGGCCGTTATGACTTAGAAAGGAGAACCTAAGCACATTTGGCCACTTGGTATATCTTTAAATGAACAGTTTATTGTATTTTACACCTAATTTACACTATGTTTTACTTCAAATGTAGTGGACTAGCAACGATACGTTTGGTGTGGACAAGCGTATAGACAATGTAGGTTTCAAGAAGGCTAGCTGTGCAATGTACTTTTGTCCATTTTCATAGACAGTATGTCACACAGCGTCAGAAACCACATAATCAAGTTTATCTGACAACAACAAAAAAAAGGAAGAACAGAAAAACAGACTTTGTCAAAAAGTGGCGTAGGCCTATAGATGATAGTACTGGAGGCTAAAATTTGAAAACGTTTTTTATCAAAGAATAATGCTTTCAAATAAGTAACAGAGGCTTCCTCTTCAGATGAGAGCTGACTCTAAAATGTTGAATTTTATATTAAGAACCACCAAAGCTGACAACGCTCTCTGCTTTGCCAGTCTCGTCCTTAACAATGTATCCTTGACAACGTCCTTACATTTAGGCACATGTTTTGTAGTAGCAAAGTGCAAAGATAACATATACCAATAAGCCAAGACATTATGACCACCTGTCTAATGTGCTTTTGGTCCTCTGCGTGCCGCCAAAACAGCCCCAACCTGCTAGGCATGGACTCTACAAGACCTCTGAAGGTGCCCTTGGGTATTTGGCACCAAAACATTAGCAGTAAATCCTCGAAGTTCTTTAAGTTGCGAGCTAGAGCCACTGCAGATCAGGCTTGTTGTTCCAGCACATCCCACAGATGCTCGATCAGAGCTCATGTACCTCAAACCACTCCCGAACAACGTGTGCAGTGTGGTAGGGCGTATTATCTAACAGAAAAAGGCCACTGCCATTGTGAAATAGGTGGCACATGTCATATTGACATCCTCATGAATGCCTGGACCAAGGGTTTACCAGCAGAACAGCACCCACAGCATCACACACCCGTCACTGGCTTGTCTACTTCCCGCAGTGCATCCTGGTCCATCACCTGCCCCAGGTACATATATACCCGGCCATCCTTGTGATTTGAAAGAAAGAAAACGGGACTCATCAGACTAGGCAACCTTCTTCCATTGCTCCAAAGTCCAGTTCTTTCAGTGGTGGACAGGGTTAGCATAGGCACTCTGACTGGTCTGCAGCTACACAGCCCCATATGCAGTAGGGTGCGACGCACTGTGTGTTGTGACACATTCCTCCTGTAACCATCATTAACATTTCTTGTGCAACAGTATCCCTTTCGTTGATTTGGACCAGACATGATATCCTTCATCGCCGCTGTGCTTCGATGAGCCTTGGGACACTTACAACTGTTAGCAGGTACTCACCACTGCTGACTGGGAGTATCCCACAAGCTTTGTCATTTTGAAGATGCTCCAACCCAGTTGTCTGGCCATAATGATTTGGTCAAGGTCAAAGTTCAAGGTCAAGGTTTTCAAGCCTGTCCATTTCTCTCACATCCAACACATTGAGTATGAGAACCAACTCTCAGCTTACTGTCTAATACAGAGGTGCACAATTTGGAGGTTTCCATACTGAAACACACCCACTAAACCTGGCAATTAACAGCTAAATGTAATCAAGTGTGTGTGAGTAGATGAAACACCAAACTGTGCTGGACACTGGCCCTCCAGGACCGGAGTTGTGCATCCCTGGTCTAATATATCCCACAGCTTGACATGTGCCATTGTTACAGAATAATCTGTATTCGCTCTGTCTGTGAGTAGCCATAATGTTTTGGCTCATCAGTGTACATGCTCACAAATACAAGCAAACCATTTTACAGACCTGTTGAAATATCAAATTGCTGTTTCCTTGAAATGTTAGCCTGTATGTTTTCTCCATCTTCCCACGATGAAACACAACAAATACCAAAATAGTGTTTCAAGTATTCAAATACTGGCACCTCAACTGGTTAACAGAGTACTCATGTACCTGAGCACTTCCCTGGTACAAAGTAGCTAGTCTAAGTCCTTAGAGGGATGTCTCAGCAAACTCCTGCTGCTTGATTATCATTTTCCTCATTTCTTCTCATCCATCTTTGCCCTCTTCCCTTTTGTTTCCATCCATGGCTACACATGGGGAAGACGTAAATGGCAATGCAACAACGGTAGGCCCATCAGAAGACTAGAAGCTCTGCTCATGTACCTCTCATGGTGGAAAACAGCCTACCCCACTGTTTTGTTTGGCTTCCAGGACACGAATGCTAGTTTACTGTTCAGGCCCAAACACTGAATACCATTCCATCTAGAGAGAGGAGGGGAGCCAGGCTGTTCCTTGCTAGGTGCCTCATGCTCCCTATTCAGGCAGTGGAATGGAACTGCTCCGTCTCTAAGACAAATTTATGGCACTTTTTTCGAACTTACGAAGCACATTTGGCTAAATCTTGGTGTGTGCCAGATTCCATTGATTTCAAGGCTGAAGTTAATAAGAATACTTTGTTTTGCAGCCCTAAAGCACTTTTGGAATAGTTCAGTTGGAGTTCATGGTTTAGTGCTGTACAAGCTGCTGACACTGTAGAGGTGGTGCACTTTATTATGTAGTGTGGGCCAAATGTAGATCTGAAGCAGCTTTTTTATTAGGAGAGTTCCTGTGATTATCTAAACATTTGTCCTAAGAAGTCTTGCCAATTTTATCCCACTGTTAAGCTAAATTATTCCTTTCTTTGAAAATTCCTGTTGGGAGGTATGTATGAGTACACCCTGATTGTTGGACCAATCCAGGTTGCTTTACAACAGCATTTTACATTGCAAACAAATGTTTATTACCATATCCAAGTTATCTAAAAATCATTCATATGCTGGCCAAGCCTTCAGTTTCTCTCACTTGCCTATATTAGGGTTTGTAAGTAGCTAGCGTTTTGCTGAGTGCAACTGTGCTTTGCTGTTTAATGTCTTGGAAAGGCCAGAGATATTTTGAATGTTTGTGTGTGCGTATGTGCGTGTTCTGGTTCCTGCTCTTTGCAAATGCTCAGTTCATTACTTGAATTTAATCCGCAGCCTTGGATGATAAATAATAAACACACTAAAATGATTATTACACATCATATTATAATTGTGTAGTTCTAAACTTACCCACAAAAGTCATATTCAAGACTCTATTGCTTTATTTTATACCCTTGAACAAGTTTGGTTGTGGCTGGGCCTCCAAATAAAGGTTGCATTACCTTTCAGTTTTCACCAGGATGTAAGATTTGTAACATAATATAGCTTTTATATGTACTATAGGTAAGATGGACACATACAGTATTGTGCAAATGTCAGAGACCAACTCTAATTTTTTTTTCACTTCTAGTCAAAATAGCCATTAAGTGCAAGTTATTCATTAGATTAGATATACGATAATCCATTTGAACAAAGAAGTATAAGGTCAAAGAAAAATAAGTGAAAAAAACTAAAGTTTCCAAAACTGTTTTCAAAGAATAACTATGATATAAAGAAAATTTGACTCCTAACAATCGTGCAAGACCTGGTAAGCCACCAAAAGTGTCCCTATCAGATGAACAGCACTTAAAGCTTTCATTTTTGAGTGACAGAAGAAAATCAAGCTCCACAGTTGCTTAAGATCAGAAAAAATCTGAGATCTGAGATGTGGAGTAAAGTTGTATGGACTGATGAGTCAAAATTTGAATTTGGGATTATTTGGATTGTAAGAAGCAGAAAATGCAACCAACTTTGCAAGGCTTTTCTTTGTATGTTTTGTACATCATTGTTTAGACACTGCCCTCCTGGTGCACACATTCACACTATGTGCAGACATCTATGTGAATGTCTGGGCATGACACCTGCACATGTTTACAGATGCACTGACACAGAAGTATAATTTGGCCTTTACATCTTGATGTATCTTGACAACAAATCTTGTCAAATATCTGTAACATTTTATAAATGATGATCATTCACTGCCACTCTCAATGTTTTCCTGGTCCCCGTTCAGGTCAGAGTGCGCTGTCCCACTAAATGGATCCTGCCATAGATGACCCAGACAGATTCAGCCCCCTGGATGATCCAGAGGCCTGGTCTGGCTCTGATGACCCTGAGGGTCCTTATTGCTCCCAAGATGAGGCTTACTATGGGGAGACAGAGAGTGATCTGGAGCCACAAAATGAGCAGAAGTCATCGCACGCTCTGGATCATCTCCTTGATCCTAAGCCTGAGAACCCTGAGTCCTTCTCTGACTACTCCCAGGAGGATGATGCCCCGGGTTTGCTTTGCCAAAGTCCAGATCCCTGCCCTCATACTCTGTCTGAGGCACAAAACGACAACCCTCCAGAAGATCAGGACCCAAAAAAACTTGAAAGTAGCCCATTCTCCATGTCAAACTGTAGTGCCCACAAGCAAGAAGACCACCAGCCTTCTGCTTCAGGGTCTTCCTCCCCTGACCAAACTATAACCCTACCACAACACAGGAAGCAGTTGGCTCAGGAAAGTTTGGATTCCCTGGAGTCAGAAGAGGAGGAAAAGCAGAGTAGAGGAGGAGGAGGAAAAGGAGGAGGGATAGAGGCAGCACCTCCTGCGTCGTATGTCACTGATGGAATTCAAGCCCACGGTGCTGAGCAGGCAGAGCAGTGGGGCGCTGCTTCCCTCACTGAAACCACCAAAGCTAGCAGACAGCGGGCAAGACACGGATGTAAGTCCAACTGTCTCTCTCTCTCTCTCTCTCTCTCTCTCTCTCAACTACCCTACCTCTCTTTCTCTATATCACTCATGCTGTTTCTTGGGGTCCAAGCACTGAAGGTGCTGCAACCCAGTTGTTTTTGTTAGGATTTTCTCTCTTCGAGGATCTCACTCTGTGTGACTATATGAAACTGGATGAGCTAAAATGAAAGTAGACATATTTTAAGAAAAAACTGTGAATTTAAGAATGTTTTACCTAAATGCTTATGATGATACATGTTTGAAAAAGTAAGCAAGTGCCATTGTTCCATATGGTCACATTTATATTTTATTCAATTATTCTGCTTTTGGAGTAGGTCATAAAGTGGGCATGGCTTGCTATAACCAGCCTGAAGACTAAATGTATTGCATTTTTGCTTTGCAGTATATGTGTCTCATTAAGCTGCTGTGCAACATATGAACAAATCCCTTGTGAGGATAAGTGGGCCCCTCAGGAAGTTTACATGATGAAGAAGCCAGATCATTTTGCATTTACTTGCCCTATGGTTAATAATAGTCTGTGTGTGATGAAAGCTGAAGTAGGGTCAGCATTTAAGGCACATTTCTTTCAGGACTGAGCCACTTCAGAACATAAGGACTTTACTCTTATAAATGAGATTTGGGTTCAGATGAGGCTACGTTTATCAGTTCACCATTTAGGAGCAACCTACATCAGTCAGTGTCTATGCAGTTGCCTGCAAAGGTTTGACAGACACCAGCATGTGTCATTGGTGGCTTGTCATCTGATCTTTCTCGGCTTGAAGCCCTGGGCCCATTGCAAGGAGTATGCCTCATTCCCTCCCTCCCTCTCTCTTTCTCTCACTCACCCTCTCTCTCTCTCACTCTCTCTCCCCCCGCACCATCTATAGCACACTACTGCCATCCAAGGTTAGTGCTGCTGCTGATAGCACAGAGACCCACTTTTGCCTGAGGAGTTTATGGCCCCTTGTAATGTTTGCACTCCTAAAAAAGACTGCAGGTGCACTGGCCTGCTACTAAGCCAAGTTCAAGTTAGTTGGAAACTGTATTCTGTAAGACACTGAAGCAGACTGACAGATCCAGCAGATGTAAGGTAAAGTCCAAACACATGTTTAAGTGGGTTTTTGGACTATTTCAATATTCTTCGCATAGAGTTTAAGAAATGGAACCTGCTTTGATGAAAACAGCTGCTGTAATATATTTGAGTTTCACTGCCGAATTCTTTTTTTTTTTACCATATGCTCATGCTAGCAGAGCACTGCTGAAAGATTCATGTAGACACATAAAAATGGCCCACAGGAGGGTGTGAGATAGCACTTGAGTTTCTTGTCCACTCACTAGCCTGGTTGCATCAACACTAAGCAGATGAAGCTAAGAGAAAAATCAGCTAGCTATTTTTTATTCTCTTTTCATTTGTTTTCCACAAAATTAAGCTCTTTTGTGTAGTTTCCTCAAATACTTTGGAGTCATGTTGGTTTGCACGCAATTGTTTTTTTAAGGTACACGTTTCTAAATGAAATCTTTCTTTTCTCCACCCAACCCCTGGTCCCCCAAACTTAGGCCTAAGACGGAGTGAGGGGCAGTCCGAGAAGCATCTGAAAGAGGCTAAATCTAAATGTAAACGCATCGCCCAGCTCTTGACTGCTGCTCCAAACCCTGAAAGTAAGGGTGTGTTGATGTTCAAGAAGCGCCGGCAGAGGGCCAGAAAATTCACGCTAGTGAGCTACGGTACACGAAAGCCAGAAGACGACAGTTTTGAAGACGAGTACGGGTTCGAAGACGACAACGTAGGCAAAGACTTCAGATTTTCCCTTCCAGCAACAAGTGAATCTGAATTTGACGAAGATTTTAGTTTTAATGTTCAGGGCCAAGGTGCTGCTTTGAACTTATATTACAACTACGAACCACAAGAAGAGAGAATATCAACAAATTATAACTGGGAAAAGATGGAGCAACTTCCACAGACAAAAGGCAAAGGAGTCTTGATGTTTGCCCAGCGGCGTCAAAGGATTGATGAAATTACTGCACAGCATGAGGAGATGAGGCAAAAGGGCATACCAGTGGAAGCATTTGTGGAGTCCGAGACTGTTGCACCTTCCATGCCTGCCCTTCGAGAGGAAAATGCTCCAGTCCATCAGGATGTTCAGGTCAAGCAGCAACCACAGTATCAGGAACAACAATATCAGCAAGAGATGTATCAGCAGCCAAACACTGGTGTAAATGGTCTTGATCCCTACCAGGTTTCTTCCATGTCCAAATCCCTTGTGTCCAACAGAACCGCCAAGCCATTCGGTGGTCTAAATCAAGCCCCAACACCCTATTCACCTGTTAAAGGTGTCCCGAGCCCAACACCAAAGAAACCTGAACACATCTTCAAAGTTCCCGTTCCAGTGAACACAAGCCCTCAGGTGTGGTCACCCACAGGTGATATCATTGCCTCTCGTGATGAACGTATTGCAGTACCAGCTATCAAGTCTGGAATTCTGCCAGAGACAAAAAGAAGAGGGATGAATAAAGCAGATTCCAGACATGTTCCTCCAGAGGAAGACTATCTCAGTCTTGGTGCGGAGGCCTGCAATTTCATGCAACCTCCAACAGTCAGGCAAAAACATCCTCCACCAGTTCTTCCTAAGCCTGCCATCAACCCAGCTTGCCCACCATGGTCTGCAGAGGGTCATGCTCCTCGCAGTCCTCTTCCAGCCTCAAGTCCTGTTCCTGCTCAGCAAAACTGGGCTCCACCTCAACCTCAGCCAGCTACCAAACCCTGGGCTCCATCACCAACTCAGCCACTGCCACAGCAACATATGTCTGCCTGGGTACCACTCAACCCATCAGCTTCATATCAGGCTACATGGCCTTCAGAACCACAGCAGGCACCAGTGAGTATCAAAACCCCAACTACACTTCATGCAGCTCCTTCGCAGCCAAGGACCCCATGGACTAAGCCACAAAATGATGCCAACTCTGTGGCTTCCTGCCCACCCCAACAAGGGAGCTCTTACTTCCATGCATCCAAGGCTCCACTAGCTTCTCCAAGGGGGCATGCCTCAGAAATAGGTCTTTCTGATGGGCCAACCCTTAAGGGCAAAGGTGCCGAACTTTTTGCCAGGAGACAGTCCCGTATGGAGAAGTTTGTGGTAGATGCCGAGACTGTGCAGGCCAACAGAGCCAACAGACCCCCCTCACCCACACTCTCCATGCCAAGCACCTGGAAATATTCTCCAAATATCCGGGCTCCTCCTCCAGTGTCCTACAATCCCATCGTATCCCCTTTTTACCCTCTTGCAGCACAGAAGCAACCCACCTCTGTAACTAGCCCTAAACCCAAAGCAAACAAAGAGAAACCCAAACCAACACCCAAACATCTCAGTGTTGTGGATGTCATGAAACATCAGCCATACCAGCTGGATACCTCACTCTTCACCTACAGCTCCTCCCCAGAAGTGAAGGGTGCAAGCCCTAAAACATCCCCTGTCCCCCCTCTAGAGTCCAAGCAAACCTTTGCCCAGACCCCTAGCCATTTGCAACCCCCTTCTTCTGGTCGTTTTCTGTCTCCTACCCTGTCCCCTTCCCCTGTCCCATCTTCTGGAAGTGCCCAGTCATTTAAACAAGGTGCTCCTGCCAAACCTAGCGGACCGGTGAGTGTTCCATATCCCTTTATCCATCAGCCTGCTCCAGCTGAGGCTGCTCCTGCTACACAGCCCCCACATGGAAAACTACCTGCAACGCCTGCCACGCACGATGGCCCAAGCAAAGTCTCCTCTAGCATCTTTGCTCCTCTCTCTAGCACTGCTGGAAATGTCTCTTTATCCCCTTCCTCTTTCCCACTAAATAATGAAGTTGTCTCAAGATATGCTTTGCCAATAGCTCCTAGGCCAAAGTTTTCTGCAAAAAAGTCAGCTGTTAGTGGCAAGCAGTGGAAACCAGTGGTAATGCAACACTAAGCAAATTGAGATTCACATTGTTAATCAACCTACACTAAGTTCATAAGTCAACTGAACTAGTTGGAGAAATTGCATAGAATCTGCTTAAACAAAGACTGGATATCTCAAAATGATTTATATTTTGAGAATGTAACTACATATGAAATATGTATTACTGGTGAATGGAGTCATTATTATCTACTCCATTTACCAGCAAAGCGTGCAGATATTGTGTTGTCTCGGTGTGGACATTTTTAAAGTTTTTGTTTATCGTATTTGACATGCTGCCACTGATTTGTGCTAGATTTTCAGTAATGGGAATGCTAAGTTGAGTTTGGTATGTAGTAAGACATGTCAATGAGACTAGTTGAAGAAAGAGAGATGAATATTTAATGGAGAAACATTTTTGGATTACTAACACTAATCAGACTTTGGCTTGTAATTTCATATTTATTATAACAGAGAAATAATTCTCAGTGATCTCAGGAAAACCAGCTATATTTAGCTGCTAATCATATCTTAAATTTGTTGTTTACCTTTGGGAGGATTCTACCATGAATACAGAAAGTTACATTTGTATGTGAACAAAGTACGTCGTGTGCCTCGGGGAGTCAGGAAAGAATGCAAGGGTGATCCATGTCGGCCATTTTGTCTGGCTAAAAAAGGAGTGGTGGCAAAAAATATAAAAATATAAAATATAAATGGAGTGTTTGGCTTTTTTTATATGTTAAGAATTTGGTCTTTGGCCACAATTTAAAGGAGTTAAAAAAAGACATGTTGTTCACTACTGGGAGACTACTGAAATCTAAGTATATGTCAATCTAGCTGCTGATGGAGAGTGCAAACCTCTGAAGTGCTGCCGACTGCTGCATGGCAGACCATTATTCCCGATTTAGTAGTCTTGCTCATTGGGTATTTTGGATTCTTTGGTCCATGCTCCACCCACAAATGTGTTATTTCATAGCAACTGTTGCAAGGTTGGACAAGCTTTACAGAACACTGGCAAAAGTCCCATTCAACCTAATGAAAAACTAATAGCGCAGGTCATTGACATTGACACACATTGAGTGTGTTAACTGCAAAATTACTTTTTTTTGACAACATGTTAAAGATTACACTATTGGGAAAGACTGGATGTCATTTTTTTGCATAATTGAGCTAATGTTAGTATTGTGGTGCATTCATCATTGCTGTTTCCCAACTGTGTAGGTGTGATCAGATACAACAACATAGTCCAGCTCGGTGCCATAACAGCTAGAAGCTCAACCTTGTATATCGACTCTAAACAAAAATTAGATTTCTCTGCGAATAGGAAGAGTCGAATAGGATCTTTGCCAACATTGTCTAAATCTTATCCAACCGGACACTCGTTTTAATACCGGTTTTAATGCCGGGTTTTAAGTCACATGTCCACATGGCCTCCCTAACTCCCCTCAGAGGGAAATCCCTGATGCCATCTTAAGGACTGTTCCATTACTTTATTAGTTCTTGTGAAGTCGGAGTGGCAAGGGATTTCGTGAACACTGCTTAAGTGCTGACTTCAGCAGCAGAACTTGCGAATGGTCATGTCTTTACTGTGCTAGCTTGCTAGTTAGCAAATTCAAGGCTACGTGGCTAATAAGAACAAGAAGAAAGGCAATAAACTAAAACTGATAACCATACAAAGCAACTGTTCACAAATTTTATGCATGTTATGTTCACACTTGTCAAAAAGGTTTTGCATTACAAAGTTTGCGTGGCTAGCTGACTGAGGCTGACCTAGCCGACGGCAATTATATTACAATGGAAAAATCCTCTCCTATTGTCCCGTCTTCCTCTTGTACTGCAACGTAATTTCACTTTCGTGTCATGACTTGAAGCTGGTGAGGACATGTTAAAAAATCAACAACAACAGTTGCAGCAAAAAACCTCATTGGTGGGCGGAGCATAGATAGCTCAAGCTTTTTCTGTATTTTTAAACTTTTAAACTTTGGCTTATTTTTGTTTTCTCTTTATTGTGAATTTTTATGTGTTACAGTTTTGTTGTAGAAAATATCCCTGCTGAGCAGACAGTGCTATTTTTATACGGAGCAAAGGGCATATGACGTAACGGACAGTGCAAGTGTAATTATTTGAGCAAGTCAACGTATACATTGCTTCCCGTTTGATCTATTCTTTTCTTGTTTTCCCTAAAAGATTGCACTTCCTGGACTCTCTCTTTACTTATTAAATGTTTCTTTCAACTCTCTGTCTTCTCTCTTTTTCAGCTCTGTGGCTTTTCATCTATATCTGATTCACATCATTCACTTTCTGCTATCTTCACATTTACTTTCTGCTATATCTATAGCAAGCTATCCATACACTTTTATAAACAGATAGTTATGAGACACTTTGAAAAGTTAGTCTTTATCCAACAGATTAAGTCATATTGCTTGTGTTGCAGTATCATAGCTAAATGGTATTGGCTTTGAACACTTCTTACACTGCAACAGAGTGCACCCCTTTCTAAATATAGCTGCCCACCCCTCTATCTTTGACACATGCGATCCCTATTAAACACTGCTCCTGCTTAGCAACTTGATAAGCCCCCCACCTGCCAACAAGCCGAGTGCCTTTAGAAATAGGTAAGTGCTGAAAACCCCCTCGGACGCCCCCTGGTGGGAGAATGTCTAGCACTATTTCTGTTTGGACGACATCATCGGAGTTTGATTATGTTTAGGGTATGACAACAGATCTAAATTCTAACACTAGCTTCCATCATAAGCTCATTGACTGCAGTGTAAGACTATGACACTTTTAGTGAGCACCAGCTTAATAGTGGTCTTGTTTTCCCAGCATTCCCAGGATTAAAAGGCTGTATATGGGAATTCCACCAATGTTTCAGCGTACTGTGCTTGTTGAGGAAGTGAAATAGAGTTTCATTCCAATCTCTAGAAACTTACCAGCTTGTATTTTTTCATAATGTCATTGGTAGGAACCATGGATCTTGACATCACCAGTGAAAAGATTTATACATGGTGTCCTTAAATGTAAAGTTAATAGCACTAAAAGTATGATAAGTCTGTAAAAAAATGTTTACATATTTTCCTTACCATATTCAGGTTATATTTCACAGAACTAACCTGAGGCAAATATAATTATGCTATAAAGCTATTGTAAAATGTTCACTAAGGCATCATGCAATGTGTTTTAATCCTCTATGTGGTTGATTTTGAAGGCTTAAATCTAAATTGAACCCCTGGTTCCTATCACTGCCATTGCACTCAATTCTGACTTATATGTTTCTCTAGAGCAAGGCTGCCCCAAGTGTAGCCCACAGGCTAAAGTTTGCCCTACAGGAGGTAACCCTAACCCGACCCCCTCACCCAGTGAGAGAACAAGCATATTTTTGCACAATATGTAACTTATTTTCTATTTAAAATTGTATTTTTTAAGTCAGTAAGTAACAAAATGTAATGTTATAAAATACACTGGTAAAAACTCAATTATGAAACATGCATACCTTCCTTATTTGTAACCCGTTTTGTTTTTTTGGCCTTCGGCCCACTAAACACTACACTTTGGCCCCCCAAAGACAAAACGTGTGGACACCCTGCCTTAGAATGTTGCATTGTTCTTCAAAACCATCTGAATGATTTTGGTTACTTAAGAGCAAATTATGCTGAAATTTTGAGAAACTGTCACTAAGCCATTCTGATTAATGTTGCAGGTATTTTTAAGTGTTATTTTAAATTCAAACACATAAACATTGATTCACATAGGTTTTCAAACCATACTTATACCTGAGTTTGTGAAACTACATAAATTACATCATTGGTAGGATCTGAATACTTGAATGTCAAATACTGTAATCAGATTAGATCAAATATAACGTTATTGTTCAGTACTGTCTTCATCATATTATCAGCAAATACACCCACTAAGACCAAGGTGGACTTTTTTGTATAATGCTAGCTGGGTTTTGAGGCAGATGACCATTTAAAATATGGCCATACTTGATATTAATTTTAATAGATATATCTTAGCAGTAAGACAGCCTTAATGAGAATTTACCATGAAGCAGAAATAGCCCTCTATGAAGACTAGTGATGTAGAGAGATACCAGATGGGGGCAGCAAAGACTAAAAAAAAGTATACAGCCTTCAAAAGCTCTTCATAAAGAATGCATCCTCACTTCAAGGGAGATATTGATATCCAAAACATCTATAACATTTAATTTAACATTTAATGTTTGTGCATTCAGTATATTAATAAGTTAAATCTGAATGTAATAATGTCTCAAATCTAAACACTGCAATGACAGATCAACAGTTGTCTGTTGCCCATTATTTTTTCCTTTGTTTAGGTGTACAGCAGGAGCCGCTCTATGTCTCTGCCCCGGAGACACTCCTCCGTGTCCACTCTATCGCCCAGTGTCCAGTCCAGGCTTCCATCCCACCCGTGGACCCCTGGACAGGCAGATGTCCTGGGTGGAGCAACCTCAAAAGCCCCCTAGCCCCTGGGAAGCAGCAGCCCGGAGCCCCTTAGGCCTGGTGGATGACGCCTTCGGCCCACAGAACGTCCAGCAGGCGATAACCGCCAGCGTCCACACTGCTGCACACAGGAAGTCCCTACCAGAACCACCATTGGAATGGAAGCGACGGGTCTCCAATGACCCCATTGAACCCCCACAAGCCACAACACCCACACTTGCCGCCACGTCCCCCACCAAGGCCTTCGTTCCAGCCTCAGAGAAGCCGATTGTTTACGGGCCGCCGTTCAGACCAGCCCAGCCTCTAACAATCGGCATCAGGTACACTGGGACCAGTTCTTTGCCTAGGAATTTCTCCCTTCATACCAGCTATGCTCCAACGCATAGAGTCAGCTGGAAAATGTAGCAAATTGTGGTTGTGATCATCCTCACACTTGTTTTTCACAACTCACTGATAGTTAGAAACAGGGGTTAAATTGGGCTGGAATGAACTGAAGCGGCATTCCGGCACCCTTGAGGTAACTCGGAAGGGGAAACAATTAACCCTTTGCTAAGCCTCATCTCCCTTGGCTACTTCTGACAAGTTTAGGCTAGTGAAAATTTAGCAATTTCTGAAGGAATACTTCCAAAATATCAGAAAAGAGTAGAGAAAAAAGTCTCCAGTATGCACATGTCCTTGCTCTAAAAGGATAAAACCTAGATGCCTTATCATATAGCAGCATTACTGAAGGGTAGGTAGAATCACGCTTCTATGCATTTAAAGGAGACTATTTATTATCTATTTTGTACACCCCATTACATGTTAACATGTTAACTGCCTTCGGTGTAGCTAAGTTAGCTAGCGAACAGTGATTGGACTATCACCATTCTCCATTTGGTTCTAAACTCACTGGAATTTTATGCCTTGGTACCAAATTTAAAAACGTAACTTTTATAAAGGACTTTGTTAGCCAGCCAGACTAGCTGGTAATCTACGCTCTTGAAAAAGATGGTTCTGTTTAGAGCCCTGAGTTCTATATAGAACCATGTCATGCTTAATGGCTCTCTGCATGGTGAAACAGTTCTTCAGATTGATGGAGAATATGTTGCATATGGTTCTATATAGAACCTTTTTGAAAATGGTTCCTTCTTATATTGTTATGATGTCAAGCTTGTAACAATAGAAGAACTCTTTTTGGTGCTATATAGAACCATATACAGTACGTTCTCCATCAATCTGAAGAACAATTTCACTGCGCATAGAACCATTTGAGCATGACATAGTTCTGTATGGAACTCACTCACCATTCTCTTTACTAAAGAACCCCTAAAGAACCATCTTTTCTTAAGAGTGTACTTAAAGAGAGCCTTATAACTTAACTTGTAGCAGATGTATGTTATTTGCATGAATTTTTGACAGGTTTAATTGGTAATGCAGTCTTTCTTTTTAAAATCTAGACCCTATACCTGTCCTCATGTGTCTAAGTTTAGGAAATGGGTCAAATGTCCCTCCCTCTCTTGGGTTGTCAGTATCAGATTTCACTTCTGAATGTTTAGGGGCCTAATTACAGCTGCTAAGCTACAATTGGACAATGGGTATTTATGGGGGATACTTAGCAGAGCCTTCTCATTTTAGCATGCAGTGGAACTTCACTGAATCATTAACCATATTCACTGTAGTTTTATATATATATATATATATAAAACACTACACTTTGGCCCCCCAATCATTAACCATATTCACTGTAGTTTTATATATATATATATATATATATATATATATATATATATAGCATGTAAATGAAGCTAGCTAGCTTGTTGTCTTGGTAATTCACAAGCTTGCTAGTTTCAAGCAAGTTAGTCAGCTAGCCAGCTGTCTAATTAATTTACATCCTCCTCCACCTTCCAAATTCCAATTTAACCCCTGTTCAGGTGGAAATCTGCATTGTAGATATTTAGTTTAATGTTGAATGGAATATGTGTTGCAGTCATGATCAATCGACATTTTGATCAAGGCTGCAGTAAGACATGAAAGTTTTGAATATAGACATATGAGCTGATAGTGTGTAATACATTTAACACAAACAGTTTTGGGTTGACATGTACAATGTACATGTACAATCCCATTTCCAAAAAAAGTTCGGACACTGTGCAGAATATAAATAAAAACAGAATGCAATGATATGCTAATTATGTAAACCATATTTTTAAAGGAAAATACTATGAAGACAACATATCAAATGTTGAAACTGGGAATTTTAATTGTTTTTTAAGAAAGATACGCCCATTTTCAATTTGATGCAAAAAACACGTTCCAAAAAAGTTGGGACAGGGGCTTGTATACCACTGTGTTTCATCACCTCTTCTTTTAACAGCACTCTGTCAGCATTTGGGAACTGGGGACACCATTTGCTGTAGTTTTGAAAGTGAATAATTTTCCCATTTTTGTTTGATAGAGGATTTCAGCTGCTCAACATTTTTGGGGTCTCAAAATCTTTTAAATTTCATAATGCGCCAAATGTCATCGGTGGGTGAGAGGTTAGGACTGCACCCAGACAGCACCCAGACTCTTTTAATACTGAGCAATGCTGTTGTAATACATTGCATTGTCTTACTCAAACAATCAAGGCCTTCCCTGAAACGTTGTCTGAATGGCAGCATACGTTGCCAAAACATGTATATATGGTTCAGCATTAATGGTGCCTTCACAGATGTGCATGTCACCCATGCCATGTGCACTAATGCACCCCTATACCATCATGAATACTGGCTTTTGAACTGTGCACTGATAACAAGCTGAGTGGTCTTTAGCCCGGAGGACTAAAATTTCAAATGTTGATTCGTCGGACAACAAGACACTTTTCCACTTCACCTCAGTCCATTTTAAGTAAGCTCAGGCCCAGAGAAGGCAGTGGTGTTTCTGGATCTTGTTTATATATGGTTTCTTCTTTGCATTTTAGACTTTTAACTTGCATTTGTGGATGCAGTGATGAACTGTGTTCATAGACAGTGGTTTTCAGAAGTGTTTCTGAGCCCATGCAGTGATTTCCACTACAGAATCGTGTCTGTTTTTAATGCAGTGTTGTCTGAGGGCCCAAAGATCACAGCCAGCAAAAACTGTTTTTTCAACATCTGATATGTTGTCTTTGTACTATTTTCAATTAAATATAGGGTTTAAATGATTTGCACATCATTGCATGTTGTTGTTTTTTTGCACAGCGTAACAACGTTCTTGGAAATGGGGTTGTATAATGAAAGAGCAAACGAATGTGAAAGTATGTAATGGAGTTTGCATGTTTTGAAAGTGTTGAATATAATGAGAGCTTTAAGACACTTCCACTGGCCACTTTATTAGAAACCTCTACATTGTAGGTTAATAATGATAATTGTCTGTACACCTATATCGTAAACCTATGAGGCAGGCGTAGCTCATAAATTGGCCAGTGAGTGAAAATATAAGGTACTTTTTGCTAGACATAGGTCGTTTTACTAGATCATAAGCATTTAAAGTGTGGAACCTGTTTAAGTACACATTTAGTCATAGTACTTTGTGAGGTCATGGTATTTCCAGTGTGTTTTTCTCGCACTTTCAAATAGTACTTTTTCTTGGTTTGAAGTCAACTGTTAAACCCCAACATTTGATTTGCTGTTTCTTTGCATAGGCCCAGCATGTTTAGCATGATTTAATGCTGGTAAGCTAATCTGCAGAGACTCTTTACTGACACTGGGCTGTTCACATATAAGCACCCTTGAATGTGTTTTTTTTCCCCAACAGTGCTTTTTGACATTAAAAACAAATGTTATGATTTCAACCTAATATTAGCCTATTTTTTTCATTGCCAAGAGGTTACATGGCTCTATACACAAAGGTACTGCTAAAAATGATTTCATACCATCTGAAAATGCCAGGTGCTCTTTGTTATGTGCTGATTTCTTGATGATCTGGCAAATAGAAAAAGTACAAAATTATTATATAAGAAGAAGAAAATTTTTCTAATTTACACTAAAACTTAAGAATGACAATATCATCTCTCATTGCTAACATAAATCCTCATTCCCATGAAGGCAAATGGGCCACTGAGCATCAGTTGGCTTTCTATTGCATTAGTATGAACCTGGGACCAATAATGCAGCCTCTAGGTATTTAGTGAAAGTATTCAGTCATATGCAAAAGTTTTGGCACCCCTGGTTGAAGTATGTTTTGTTGATTTCCTAAGTGAAAATAATATAATACATACTCTACAGAGAAGACATTTCTTCACAAGTTAATGCATGGCCACTGTTTATTTGCTGAATTTAACATATTGGAGGCAAAAAAGGCAATAAAATATAGGCATAAATGCATACAATGTGGCCTGTGCAGAAGTTATTGCGCATTTTATATTTTATGTTTTATTCTAATATGTTAAACCCAGCAAGTAAATAGAAGTTTGCAGAAAATGTAAACATTTAAGTTGTCCTGTAAATGATATTTTAACTTATTTTCACCTAGGAAATGAAAAAAAAACATGTAATGGCCTGGGGGTATACAAACTTTTGCATGCAACTATAGGTCTAAAGGTTATATGCTTGGCTATTCCTTCCTTAAACAATTACATTTAGGCTAACTGAACGTAATGCTGCTAGCCAGTATTAGCAACACTAAATCTAAAACTCTACCACCATCATAAGGTTCTGACGAACAGCAAGTGTCATTGGCAAGGCCGTGAAATAATGTAGTTACATAATCACATGCCTCTGCCTTATAAAGGCTAGTATAGCTATCATCGCTAGTGTTGTTGTAGCATCATCCCTAAAGCCAGCAAGCCATGCTAGCCACAGTAGTAGAAAGTAATTAGCATTACATGTTCTCATCTGTTTCAGACAATGTGAAAAGATCACTTTCCACTACTAGCTTGGCAATTTAAGTGTGAGATATTGAGCTAGCTGAGCTTTGCATGGCTGAGCTGCCCATGGGACTAGCAAATGCTTCAGTACTTTAAATAGAACCTCCATGTTTTAGTGCTAACCACAGTAGAGGAGCAGCAGAGAAGTTCAACCCTATCAGATCAAACCTTAGAGACACTAGTTAATTCTACAATTGACAGACCAAATGAAGGCTAACTGAAAGGTTTAAACTCTCCAGTTGTTTCTAATGTAAATAGTACTCATGAGTGAAAGAAAGATGGTGGTGAAAGAAGAAGATAGAACCAAAAAATCCCCAAAGCAAGGTTTGCAGTTCACCATAAGGTCAGTTATGTAATAGGGCTTGTCACTTGGACTGCCCTCGGCACCCAAATGACCCTTGAGATGAAAAAAATAAGAAAAATGGATAGAGAAAAGGCATAACAACTGGTCAGTTTTTTCTTCATTTCTTATTGCTGCAGAAATAAGCAATAGCAAATATTTAGGAAAAAAAATGATGAAAAAAGTATGATTTTGGACTATTTCCTATTTTAGTTGGTGCATTTGTGAAGACGCATTTGGAGATTTTATTGAAATGGCTTGCAACCATCATATATAATTGTATATCCATATTTATGAGTGGACACAGTGAAGCACACTTTTAATACTATAGTGCTCTCTTGGAGGTCAAATTATGTACAGTAAACTTAGACCTGAATAGCTCCCACCTATCTCCCCCCTCACTCCCCATCTCTTTCATTTTACACATTAAAGCAGTAGTTACCTACAGAAATGGAAGACATATGGACAAATTTCAGGCTTAAACATCTTTACTGGTTTGAAATTGTAACTATTAGAGTCAGGCCTAACTATCAAAACTTCGTCAATGCTAATAACTGCCAGCATGCCTATGGGATTCTAGTAGTATGTTAGTACTAACATAACAGCTATGAACACTTTTTTGACTGTTTTAGATTAAAAACAGACATTTAAAGCTTGTAAAAGACATTCCATGTTTTATTTGAAGCTGGTAACAGACTTAGTAATATATATTTCACCTTGTAGCAGTTTTGCAGTGACTATTTCAATAAAGAGCCCTGACACAATCATTGACGTATCTGAGACTTCCAAAGCTTAAAAGTCCAGTACTTCAAAATCCCATTATGGAAAGCTAGCTGTCCTTGGTGTCTTTTTGATTTATAGATGATGTCATCGCAGGGAAGCAATAAAGCCCACATGCTCTCCAGGTTGAATCTCTAAAAGGACACTCTAGAATTCCTGGGGTTCTAGAATGCAGCCCCAAGAATTAGGATCCCAGGGGTTCTAGAAAGCTAAAATGGTCCCACCCTTTGGAAATCAAAATATGATTGCTGTCAGTTGCTAACTCTGTTGGTGGTTAATCGGGCTATTAGGCCTTCAGCTCATCTTTTGAAGTCCTTACCAATGAGAGAGCTTGCTTGGCGTGCTTAGTGATCAGTAGGCCTTATATGAAGGGGTTCTCCTCTCATCTTTACATGCATACAATTCCTTGCCTACCTACACTCATAGACAAACCCACTTCATCCTAACATACACCTCTCATTCCCATTTTCCTGTCCTCACCATCCCATGGCATTGTGAGGAGTTGGGGTGTTGAACACAGGCTAAAATTAGTCTATTGATGTAAGCCAGCATTCCAACCCTCAACAGACACATGCACCCACCCACAGCCCCCTGTTCCACAGTGGGTTGAGTGTAGAGAGGGGGAGAAAGGAGACTTGGTCTGGATCAAACTGCCCAGGGTGACCCTTTACCTTCCCTCAGAACTTCCAGGTGCAAGCCAAGACACAACTCCACAGGTAAGAAATGTGTCTTTCTAGAAGGTATTGAATGGCTTGAGAAATCTCGATGGTGGGAGAGGAAGACTTTGTGGGTAAACTGGCTGAGTTTCCATCAAGCTTTTTGTCATGATAAAAGGCCTATGATGTGTTTTCTCACAGCCTTTCTAATCTGCATGACCAAAGCTCTGACTTACACTATGTTTTACTTGACACTTTCAGGTGATTTCTTAACAAGCTACATACTTCCATCACTTGTTGCATTGTCACCTTCATGAAACTTATGAAAACTTACACTACTCGGTTCTTTGGGTTCTTTAGAAGGACCACCTTGTTGAGTCAACTTAAAATTTTAAGGCAACTCATTTTACAGCTTTTTGACTTAACTCGAGGGAAGTTAACTCAAAGCTAGGAAGTAAGTTGGTTTAAAATTTTAAGTTGATTCAGCTTTTCTTTTGTAAAGAACCATGAGATTTGGGAGAGTGAAGAGCCTTTTAAGGCTTTGTATAATGTAAAGCTTTTATACCAATTTAAATGTAACTCCTACAACCTTTACATTATATGGAGGTTCTTTGGAGGTTCTTTCTTTCTATATGGAGGAACTTTAGAAAGATTCTTTGCCCTCACACACCTCATTTGTAAAACTGATTCTTGAAAGAACCAGCCATTGCATGTTTTTTAGGGAACCAAAAGAGGTTCTTCTATGGCATTGCACAAAGAACCCTTTCTGGCACCTGTAATTTTATAGAGTGACGGTAGACAGTTTTACATGTACATTGTCCACACATGCTCCATGTCCATTGCACTAAAATATATGCAAAACTATTTTGCATGTTTTCCATCCCGACAGAACTTCCATTATGAACCCACAGCATGACAATGATGTAAAAATAGAGGAGTCCACATTTCATGAAGCTTTTTATTAAGGTCAGGTTGGCACAAGAGCTGTCCGAATGGACTCTTGCTTTGGCAAGATCAAGGTTAGATCGCTCAGTAGCGCATTCTACGGCCAGGACACAATGTCCAATCACCAGCCTATTCATCAGGGACCAATGATTCATAACACTTAAGCAACATGTGACATCTTGCCATGTACAACTTGCCACACAATCTCTGCTTATTTTAAGGTGAGTACTACCTTTGCCCTTTTTAACATGAGCTGGTCAAAGACATACTGCACATCTCTTTGACAAAAAGTTTTCTTCAAAGAACCGTTTATTGAAAGATTCTTTTACAAAGAACCATTTGAGTGTTTCATTAAGTGTTCCTTTGCATAAGATAAGAATTTCACCACATTTCAACCAAAACTGGGATTTTTTTCATGCTAAAAATAGCAAGAGTGGTCTTTTACCACTGCCGTGCACAAAACTCAATGAACTCCATGAACTAACCTTTCATGTCATTTTAAGGGCATGTTCACAGTATGCTTTGTCCCCTCCACAAGGCCTTTTATCAATGGTGAACCCAATATGTCATAAAGGGGTTATACTCAACATATTTATGTTGATCATAAGACATTACACATTGTTATAATGCATTATGATCAACATTTCAGGCATATATGATCACAATATCTACATATTGTCGCTGTTGTAACAAAAAGTTTTTCCCCTCATCTAAAGCTTCCCTTTTCATTGTGTGTGTAGACCAATAGAAATAAAAATCTTACTACATGAACTAGTATTAGTTTACCTCTTTTTATTCCAACTCCTAAAAAGTTACTATTTAAGAGAGGTTTTGATACAACAGCACCAGTACGTAGCATTACCACATACCATACTCGTGTCTTTTGTGTCCCTTATGTATTTATTTTAGCACCTCTCTACACATTCAAACCCATTAGGAAAAGGCACCATGTCACGATTCAGCACGCTTTCAGCCCGCGAGAGGAAGATGCAGGCGGCGGCCATTTGCCGCGAAGTCCATGGTGGTGCTAATGGTACAAAATCTACAGCAAGCATTCCATCTGATTCCCCCACCAAACCCTAACTGTAACCACTAGATACGCACATCTCTGACCTCACAACAATTTGATTCAGTTACAATTCTTTAGGAAATTAATCAATGAATCATACACTTAAACTTCACAATGATTTAATTAGATTATGAATCTTTAGGAAATGATTCAGTGCATCATCTCAAATTGAATAATGATTCAGTTAGATTAGGATTTTTAGGAAATGATTCAATGAAATATAAACTCAAATTTTGCCATGATTTGATTTGATTAGATTATGATTCTTTAGGAAAAATTTCAGTGAATTATGAAAGTCCAGTTTTACCATGAATCAATTTGATTACGATCCTCTAGCAAAGGATTCAATGAATCAAGAACTCTTAAATTTCACCCCTCAGTTAGTTCTTTAGGAAACAATTCCATGCCTTGAAAAAACTAATTTCATGATTTGATTCAGTTCAATTCAGTTATTTTACCACAGTTCAAAATTACTTGAAAACATACACTAAATATGCAAATGTGACTGAAGAAACTATTTACAAAGAAGTGGTATACAGACAATAAAGCAAAAGACCAAGCTTTGTTGGACTTTTACATTAGTCCATGTAACAGCCTTACATTTTTATTTTGGCCAAAAATGAGTACATATTTTATTGAACAGAATTATTATAGTAATAACATTCCAAAATCGATGCAGTTGAATTTCCTCCTTCAGACTAATTTTACAGTCTTAATAACAATTATTTTTGAAAATCCACGGAGTAACTTGGCTCAACCAGCCAGCTTGAACCTTCATATGTCACATCACCTGGCTAGCCACCTTTCCGAGAATGCCAGGGCTAGGTTTGGAGAGCAGTTCATGGACACATTCCCCTTTGCTAGCCAAAAATATGCTAGCCACAGGCTTCACTACCTCTAGCAGTGGATCCCTTTGTCACTGGCGTTTGGAAAAGGGTTATTTTTGAGTTGAGTGGTAATGTTGGGGGAAGGGAGCTGGGGGGAGGTGGGTTGGTGGACGCTAGACAACTGCGAGGTGGCTGGACTGAGGACAGAGTGAAGATCATGGACAGCTGCAGCACTTTCAGCCTCTGCAGCCAAATCTCTTGTAGTTTAGTTTAGGCACTGACATCCCTACAGACTTTTCAGGACTGCACTATATAAAACACAGGAATACTGAGATGCAGGCCTACATTCTAGAGTTCTGGACTACTACAGCATTGCAGAGATTAGTCTGACCCTCCTCTAATGCACCCTGTTAAAAATATTAAAGGGGAATTGGTGTGAAACGTTTATTTCTAGAGAAACTTAGTCAGAATTGTTCACAGAAGTGGTGACAGGAACCAGACATCTGACAAGTTTTGAAAAGTCTTTAAAAGCTCACTCACAGAAAGTTGAATACACTGGACGATGTCTGTGTTTTACAGTAGTTTTGAGATAAGATTTTGGCCTAAAATGGGAAATCCAATCATGGTGAAGGGGTACATGCTAGAGTAAATTAGTCCACAAAGATAACGCTTCCTTTTTATTTACCACTATTACCATCAACAACATTACATAGTGTACGTTCACTGGAAAGAATTCTGACTTGATCAATTCTCTATTTTACATCAAACCACTCTGAATTCAATGACTGAATAGTGCAGAAATTTTGTGAAATCTGTGGAATTCCCCTTTAATATGTTCATTTTCTGACACCTTATCTCAACTCTTTTTGTCACTTTAAGCTCACCTACTTGTGAAATGACCAGTTTTTAATGGCAGTAACTGTATTATAATATCAAAGTGTGCATTTAGATTCCAAAACACTAAATTTGCTTTTAACAACTGATGTAAATGGTAATTGATCAATTTTAATTTACCATTCATTACCAATTACCAACAATTAATGTGTGTGTGTGTGTATATATATAAATATATATAAGTACGTATTATTAATGCACATGACCACCTATTCAACATATAGAAGTTTAGCTCTGCTCTTTAATGCTGAAGTTATAGTTATTGAATAAGTCACAAAAGAAAAAGCCAATCAGAACAGAGCTCATTTACATATGTAGGCCTTAAAGACACAGTCATAAGATTAATTTGTTTAATCAAACTCAAATGGTATGAATATCAGGTGGAAAAAATCACAAAATAATGCAGAATATGGGCCCTTTAAATTATGAACAATGTTTGCATGAGCTGGAATTGTATCTTCAAGATGGCTGCTACTGTTTTAGTTAAAAAAGAACAATTGTGACATTAACACAAAACTAATGTCTTGACTCTTCTGCATTAACACCTAACCATGCACAGTTATTAACTTTAAATTGAAATGCAACTGTATAAATGCCACACAATGTGTTTTTGTAATGCAATTATATTCTATCTAGATGTTATGTAGCACCTTGGCCCATTGGATGTGTCAAAATAAAAGGGACCACAATTTCCTATCAAAATGGTCATTAATTACAAATTATTCATTTTTCTTTAGATATCTCTGAGGAGATAAAAGATAATCCACTTACATAATGAAGGAGAAAGTGAGAAATTAAGTGAAATGAGTGAAAATAAGTGGAAAAAAGAAGAGTTTCCAAAACTGATTAAAAGCTACAGAGGAAATGGGACTACTAACAACCATCTACAAGACCTGGTAGACCCCTACAGTTGCCCCCATCAGATAAACAGCACTTAAAGCTTTCATCTTTGAGAGAGAGGAGAAAATCAAGTTGCTTCAGATCTGAAAAAAGGTGTTTCTGTCCATCCTTCCACTGTGAGAAGACAGCTTAGCACTACGAGTCTGAAAGGATGTGTTGCTTTTAAAGAAGCTGCTTGTGTTCTCAGAACAATGGACTGACCACCCCAGAGTCCACACTAACATCATTGAGTGTATTTAATATTACATTGATCGTGAGAAGCATAAAATGCAACCAACTACTAAGACTGAACTTTGGAGGTGTGGAAAAATATCCCTTTGAAAAACTGAAAGTGAGTCTTCCGAAAAGAATGGAAGCTGTAATAAAGGTAAAGAGTGGACACAATAAACACTGAAATATTTGATACTGAGTTGTTGAGGCTTCTGTATAATTGTCTGTTGAATATATGTTTCCTGAAGCTGAAAAATGAATATTGTACTTAATGGCCATTTTGACTTAAAAATGAACCAAATGAAGTGTTGTCTCTGACTTTTGCACTGCAATGTACATGAATCTTTCGAGTTTTCCTTAAATTAGCTTATGTAAATGATTCTTCGAGGTTCGTCCCACTTGCACATCTAACATCCAGAAACATTTCTTAAAAGATCCAGCCATTGAAAGGGTTTTAGGGAACTACTGGTTCTTCAATGACGTTGCTTCAAAAAAACTCTTTCTGGCATGTTTAGTCTTAATAGTGTTGCAATCTGTCCTATGAAAGCCATGTGACACATTGTGTAGCATTTATAAATGTGTCGTGACTGGTGTAATGTTGTGTATTTATAACACTGTCTAATGCTTATCACTTAGGTGACACAATGGACCTCGGCAAAAAGCTCTCGACCCCAAAAGACATCATGCTGGAGGAGCTGTCTCTCCTCTCGAACCGAGGCTCCCGCCTATTCAAGATGCGTCAGCGCCGTTCAGAGAAATACACCTTTGAAAGTATTCAGAATGAAGCCAATGTACTTCTGAACGTAAGTAAAATGAACAAACGAACAGTTCAGATGTTAAAGCAGTTCAGACAAAAATGAAATTTATAGAATTTTTCCCTCACCAGCTCTTAAATGGCCAGGGCCCACCAGCAGGCCCAAAGTTTTATTACACTCTTGTATAACCTCAGATATATATAGGTATCACATATTGGACATATATGCATATTATGTGGATCATACATATGTGTCTGAGGTGGCTGAGCACATATATGCATTATTTATGGATCACATATACACTGTCTGTCTGACACATGGATTATGTGTATATGTCAGATACACCCAAACACCAAAAGATTTTTTTTTAAAAGCAGACAATAAAAATGAACACCAGCAATATACATGGCATAAACCTTATGCAACTAACATGCAGTTAGCATAAATGAGTAATATATGCTATCCGTAAAGTGATATTTGCCATCATATATTGTTAATTATGTGTTAAACATATATGTCTGTATATGTTGATGTATGGCTGATATATATGTCCCATAATTGGCATATATGTCCATATGTTACTAATAGAGTTAGATAGAAGTTAGATATAAAGGGAATCCATATATGCTAGTATTTGTTATGTATTTGAAATACATTATTATGCCATGTCTCCGATTTCTGTATGGGAAGGTTCATTGTAAAGAATCTTACAGACTCAGATTTCTTTACAGTGGTGGTGATAGGAACCAGCGGTTAAGACGTCTATAACGCAAACATAGCCATTTTATTTTCTACCCAAAACCATCAGTGAGCCTACAAGTGATTTTTTTATGTGTAATGTTGATAAAGGTAAAATAGTGGTAAATCTATAAATTAATAATTTGCCTTACAATGCCCTTCAAGAACCTCTGGTTTTCCAAAATATGCTTTAGGGCAAAAGCTTCCCTCAAAACTCATAAAACTATGTCTCAGACATCAGGCAACATTTCAGTAATTATTTCATGCAATAGCTTTCTGTGAGGTAGCTTTAGGTGCATTAAATGCTTTAGACGTCTGGTTCCTATCACCAACACTGTGAAAAATTCTGACTGGATAAATTTTGACTTGCAATAAATAGCTCCAGTGCAACTCTAATGATATCAAAAATGTCTTGGCTGATCAACATTTAGGGGAAGGAGAAAAGTTTGTCCATTTAGTTGATGGCCAAATGATCACTTTAAGGATGGTGGGCACTAATGCATAGAAAAGCAAACAGACGAAGGAATATCTTACTGTTACCCAAACATACTGATCACAATAAAGCTGTTGAAACACACCCAGCACCTCATGCCTTTATATATCTGAGGCACCATTACTCAGAGAGATGGTAGAGAGAGACTTATTACAGTAAGAAAAAAGAGAGGGAATAGGAATGGATGTGGTTATTCATATGGATATCCAAACTCATGCTATGCTGAACTTGGAGTAATATTAAACCCACTGAGGGAAAGTGAACGTACAACATAGGCTTGATGCTAACAGGCTACTGAAAATAGAGGCCCTAGCGGAAATTAGCATTAACAGAGCAGTGGTTGACCAACCTACACCCACAAACTACATTAATAGAGCACTTAAAATGACACCCACTTGTAACTTTCTAGTTAATATACAATTAATTGTTGGTGTTCATGATGCTAAACTGTTTTCATTCACAGTTGAGGTAAAATAATACACTTAGCGCTGTCTTTTGAGATGCTGACTGAGGCCATGGATAAGGCTAGCACAGTGCTGTGCTGCTTGAATGGCAGCCACACATGGTAGATAGTGCAGGACACGTGCCCCGTGTCCTTCCAAATGTTTCCCTTCTGGGGTCAGCGATAACATGAGGGCTCGCCAGCCCACTTCACTTATCAGCGCCAAGGGACATTTGTGTATGCGTGTCAGATTTTAACACTTTTTTAGCTGAAATGTATGAAGCCATGCACCTTTTGAAGCTGAAATGTATGTAGCAATGAACCTTTTTAGGCTGAAATGTATGTAGCTGTGCACCTTTTTAGCTGAAATGTATATAGCTGTGCACTTTTTTAGCTTAAATGTATGTAGCTGTGCACCTTTTTAGCTGAAATGTATATAGCTGTGCACTTTTTTAGCTTAAATGTATGTAGCTGTGCACCTTTATACCTGAAATGTATGTAGCTGTGCACCTTTTTAGCTGGAATGTATGTAGCCATGCACTTTGTAGCTGAAATGTATATAGCTGTGCACCTTTTTAGCTGAAATGTATATAGCTGTGCACTTTTTTAGCTTAAATGTATGTAGCTGTGCACCTTTATACCTGAAATGTATGTAGCTGTGCACCTTTTTAGCTGGAATGTATGTAGCCATGCACTTTGTAGCTGAAATGTATGTAGCCATGCACCTTTTTAGCTGGAATGTTTGCAGCCATGCACTTTTTAGGTGAAACGTATGTAGCCATAAACCTTTTTAGGTGAAATATATGTAGCTGTGCATGTTCTTTAGCTGAAATGTATGTAGCTGTGCACCTTTTTAGCTGAAATGTATGTAGCTGTGCACCTTTTTAGCTGAAATGTACGTAGTCATGCATCTTTTTAGCTGGAATGTATGTAGCCATGCCCTGTTTTTTAGCAGAAATGTATGTAGCTGTGCACCTTTTTTAGCTAAAAGATATGTAGCCATGCATTTTTAGCTAAGTATGTAGCCATGCCCTTTTTTAGCTGAAATGTATGTAGCCATGCCCTTTTTTAGCAGAAATGTACCTTTTTAGCTAAAATGTATGTAGCAGTGCACAATGTAAAATCGTTGCAGTTGCAAACAAACTAACTTGAAGATGTATTTTCATTATTACATAAATTTTTACATCATGCCCACTGCAAATTAAATTTCACTGCAAATGTAAAGGTTTAAACCACAGTCATTATCTTAAAACAACACTTCCTTCCAGTTTTTTGTTGGAATAATATTATTGAAGTATTTTTATGAAGTGTGATATTCTGAAATATAACTATAACTTGAAAGGCTATCAGATTATCAACATATATATATATATATATATATATATATATATATATATATATATATATAAATATGTTTGTCATTACTGAGGGAATAGTTTTTCTTCTCAAAAGTGTAATATTTTTTCATTTTGAGATTTTGTTTTTTTTTATATTTTAATACATGCTCCTAAAGTAAGATATGGTGCAAAAATGACTTTCCATACACTTTCACAAGGTAGAGAACTGTATCTATTGTTGAGTTCAAAATGGTTTTGTGCAACTGCAAGCACGAAAGGAGTTCAACAACATGATGTTCTTGGTTGCTGAGTGAATGATTAATTTTAGAATTTTTAGTATTTTAACATATAGACCTTTGAAATTGTCAATCTGTAGCCAGTATCATGCCCATATTAGGAAAGGTCTAAGCACATTTCTCAATGGGAAGAATGAATGGCCTGTTTCGAAAATCACTGCTATCACACTGTTGTAAAAAAAAAGAAAAAAAAGTATTTTTCCCCCAAAATATCACTGGATCCTCTGAATTATGAAGTCAGCAGTCCAAATATGAGTATTGCAACACAAAGGCTAAAACTGTTGCACATTGAATTGATATCATAAGACTGGCAACCTCACAAAAACACCCCACACAAACTAACTATGTCAAATGTGACAGTTTAAGCAGATGTTATTGTTCTGTAATAAATAATTAATCCATAAAAATGTTTTTCAAAGCATTTTAAAAAATACAAAAGTACACATACCCAAATCTCTATAAGACTAATTTGTTCTTAAAATAAAAGTTATCATTATTATTATTATAGATCTTATATATTTACCCTTACTCCTTCACACAAAAGCAGTCATGCCTTTACAATCCAGAAGTTATCTACGAAGGCAGTATCAAATATGGTTGTTCACTGAAAATCAGTTTGCCGTCAGCTGTCCTGCATTAATATTTCACTTTTTTTTGGGCAATCTTTAATGTTGAACCGTGGTGTTACCTTGCTACACTACCATTCAAAAGTTTGGAATCACTGTTTGCATTGATATAAAACCAAATTGTTTGCAGACAAGTGTATAAAATAACTCTTATATATGCTCATCCTGTTCAATTTCACTGATTTCAAATCATTATTAGGACCAAATTAAGCATTTAAAATAGCTCTTGGAGAATAGTGTAATGTTTACATCTGCTTTGTTAGTCATTATTGTATATAAAATAACAAAAAATGATTTCTATGGCAATTGATTCTAAACTTGAGCACTAGTGTAAGTACATGTATTCATGTTTTGATTGCTAAATAGCTTCATAATGCATATGATTTAGTGACATTTAGTGAAATAACATAGCTAGAACAGTACGAATAATGTTATGTTTACCACAGGGCATGATTTTCAAAAACGCTGTTAAGAGCTCCTAATATAGGTATTATGTGGACTACAGAATGATGTACATATTTCAAGGCCTATTCACTGAAGTATGTTTAGCATGAACTTTAGCATAAATGTTATTTGCCCATTAAATTGATAGCATTTTTGCCATAACAGCTTCAGGGTTCCTATGTCTGTAAAACTCAACTGTAATAAAAATAAGAGAGAGGCCTAGAACCTACCCCCTACCCACAAACAAGTGTAGGGCAGTAAAATAGTCCCATGTGAGTTATAAAATTACATGCATTTTATGGATGAATAGCGCACTGCTATATTAGAGACTAGATATTAGTGCTTCTAAAAGCAAGTTTGCTGTCTTGTTTGTTGTCTCTGCCCTCTGGAAGCCTGTGAAAGGTCATTTTTGCAGTCTGTGGGAAAAAAAGAGTTTTCTGTCATTAAAGCATAAACTTTGATAACTCAGTTATATGAACTGTCCTTGCTTTTTGAACTATGTAGTCATGCTGTGTAAAAGCTATCCCTACTTTCACCAAGGCATCCCCAATGGGCAGGCTAATAGTTTAGATGGGCATTTGCCCAATGGAGGATAGTCTTTCCTTTGCCCTTTAAGCTATGTAAATACATGAGAAGCTTGACAAGGCACAAGTAATCTTACTCTAGCACGCCTAAGAATACATCTGTAGAGCTCCACTTTTTAGCCTTTCAAATTTCCTTTCAGTTTGGAGCAACACTCTTTAAAATACAGTACTGCAGTGAGATTTCATACCATGGCTTTAAATATCATCATTATGTTTTCATGACTCTTCAGTCTGCTTTACCAGCTGTAATCAATAGTATCTGTTGAAGAAGTAAAAGAGCATTGTTTGTACAAACCCAATTCGAAAAAAGTTGAAACAGTAGGAAAAATATAAATACGGACTGACAGACTTTTTGACCTGTATTCAGTCGAAAACAGCACAAAGACAATATGTTGACACCAATTATTGTAGCTGTGAAAGTAGAATTTTTTTCCCATTCTTGCTTGATATAACACTTCAGCTCCTCAACAGTCTGGGGTCTCCATTGTCGTATGTTGTGTTTCATAAGGCGCCACGTTTTCAATAGGAGACAGGTCTGGACTACAAGCAGGCCAGTCTAGCACCCACACTCTCTTACTACAAAGCCACACTGTTGTAAAACGTGCAAAACATGGTTGGCATTGTTTTGCTGAAACAAACAGGGACACCGCTGAAAAAGAAGTCAACTAGATGGCAGCATATTTTTCTCCAAAATGCATGTGTACCCCTCGGCATTAACAGCACCAACATTTGAACTTTGGTGGTGACAATCAGGAGAGTTCTTTTCCTTTTTGGAACACAATGTCCATTATTACCTAGAACAGTTTGCAAGGTGGACTTGTCAGACCACAGCACACATTTCCACTTTGCATCAGCCCATCTCAGATGATCTTTAGCCCAGAGAAGTCAGCGGCGTTTCTGGATGTTGTCGATACATTACAGAAGCATGTTTGTTTTTAATGCAGTATCATCTCAGGGAATGCATGTCACATGCAGTTTTTGGCCTTGCCCTTAAGATTTCTCTGGACAAAAATAAATAAAGCTCATAAGGAAAAAAATATTAAATATGTCTTTTTGTGCTGTTTTCAGTTAAATACCTGTGAAAGACAGTTTACAAATCAATGCTTTCTGTTTTTCTTTTTATTCTATCTACTGTTTTTACTATTTCTTTTTAAAAGAGAAATTTGACCCATTTCAAATTACCAGTTAATAACAGAATCATCTTTAAATTTCTAGAAATCTCTTATTTTGTATCTCTTCCTGTCTTTTGCTAGAGTGAAGTTCAAACTAATGCTGAAAATGCAGAAAATAAATCTAAAACACCTCCAAGCACGCTTGACACCAGCAATGCAGCCAACCCTGAGGAGATTGCACCAGGTAAGTGGACAAATTCTCACTCTTGCATGGCCAGGGCCTGCCAGCAGGCCCAAATTTTTATTACACATTTCTATAACCTGAGAATAGCTCAGGCAGTTAGCTTTAAATACCCTGTACTTACTGAATAAAAATAGTCTTTGTGTAAAACACCTGGGATTTTAAGGAGTTAGCTTGAGGCAGTACAATATTATTTCAACATTGGAGTCATGATGCAAATCTGTTGTGACTGGAATTTTTTCAAGTGCTTAGTGTATTATGATGTGATGTACTCATATTTTGCAACTTGTTGCATTTTACAACAAATTTCCAAGAAAAAAAAGTTCATACTGATGTATCTTGCTTCAGTCTTTTTTTATTGAAGGAAAGCATTATTCTGAAGAAGACAACCATCATTCAATGGTTACCATTTTTGTTTTGTAGCTAGTAAGTTAACTTTGTCCCACCAAGCATTCACTCTCACCAGAAAGAGAGCTAGTGTTTCACTGGATAATGGGTGGGGGTGGCGGGGGATAAAGAAAATATGATATTATTGGTTAATATTATTTTTTCCCACCACTGGGGAAAAATACTTTTGATATGATGAACTGTGATTAACATCCCCAGGAACATGAACTAAAAAGAAAAAAGGTACATTTTGATTTCATGTTGAATATACACTGAAAATAATAATAACTATAGAAAACATCTGTGGACCCAAAATATATACTATGTAGCCTATGTAGGGGTCAGCAATATGACTATGTTATCGTTATCAGGATAAATTGTCACAATACACTTTTCTGAGCATATTGTAGATATTGACACTGAGTAGCTGCATGTTTAATTATAAAAGTGAACATAATTAGGCCTGTTTATTTAGAGCAGTGCAGTTAGTAAAACAATAAAAGTCATTGTAGGTGTAGATTTATTATTATTATTATTATTGTACATTTTTTTATTTTATATGTGGTACTACATGTTCTTTTTGTTTGTTCCAATTTATTAAATCTCAGGAAAACTAAATATTGTGAAGCATGACTCATATTGTGAATTATAGTGATATATTATTATTATTATTATGAAGTATTGTGATATTTTTTTGCCATACCACTCTAAGCCTATGCATCTTATTATTTTTTGCCCTCTCCTAGTATATAACAATGGATAGAGGCAGGGTGTTTAAATCCATTAACCCTATTACCCCTCCAAATCTTTAATCTCATACTACATAACTTACATGTTAGTTTCATAGTTGTCACTGAATAATTTGTAGTAGTTTCTAAAAACAAGTCTTTATATAGTTGTATCTTCTAATTCACTTCGTAAGCAGCTTTTGTTTTGAATGCAAAAAATATGTCTCCTATTCAAAATGATAAATATGATGAATATGAATGCATTTGGCCTCAGCTAGGCTAGCCTAAATAAGCTAATGAGATTGTTATTTTGTAGTTCAAGTTAGCAAACTTCATAATTCAAACCGTGAAAAGTGAGAGTGTAGAATTCATAAACGTATAGAATTGCTTTTTGTCTGGTTTAAATGTGGTGGAATGCCCTTATTCTATTGTTGTTGGTAAATGTGAAGCCCTGAGTATGCTAGCAAAACGTTAGCAAGAATAAAGTAACAAATTTAAGATGGTGTAATGGGAAATGGTGAAGCCAAGTTGACAAGGTCATATTTAAAAACAGTACTGAAGAGTTGAAATAGAGGGTACATGCTGTAATAAGGATGTGCTCAAATATTCCATTATTAGCATGAATGATAATATGAGTATGTTTTATTAAGTGAATATATTTGGAACTAGAATATACATTAACACAATTTCAGATTGTTCTACTGAACATATAACATCAGAATATGTACTTTTTAAAGTATACCAGATGTATATATGTATATGTATATATGTATGTATATGTATGTGTGTGTGTGTACATATACATATACAAATACATAAATGTACTTATTCACATTGAGGAAATATAATTGAGGCAACTTGGGAACACAGAGCTATTTTCTATGAAAATTTTAATGACAAAACATAGTCTGAGGGACATAGAACCCTGAGAACCCAGGGCCCTAACAACATAGGGATGATCCTGTCACAAGTCAGTCAACACCATGACTGGAGTGTGACTCAAGTTTGAGTTCATAACTTGTGTCCCTATCTCTGCAGTGTACAGCAGCAGACTATGTAGCAGTTATTTTTTGCTCCGAATAACCTTAAATCCAGTTTCACATGCTTTCTGAATGATTTCGAATCAAAACCATAGGGGTTTGTCTACAACATGAGGAGGCACTTTTCGTTTAACGTGCTCCAACACTCGCACGCACACACAGTCTTCTCAACAAGGACATGATGATGATAGCACTTTGTGTCATGCAGGATTAGATCAGTATTTTGCTTCCCTCCCACTCTCTGCACTGTAAGCTTCTCCACGCTATGCAGGAGATGGCAGACGCTTCCAGAAGCTTCTTTTATCTCTTGTGGGAGAGAATGTGGAGTGAGGAGTAGAGATGAGAGCACTGAGGATTGTTATAAGCTTCCAGCTCTACTCCTGCCTCCAGTACTATTTACAGCTCAGTGACTTAGACACTGCGAAACGATGAAATAATCACACTGGATAACATAACTATTTATACATATGTAACTGGCATGATGTTCCCAAGATTTATTCCTCCAGTGTTATATGACTGGCTGCATTGTTCTCTGTCCAGTATTTCAAGGAATACTACAAATCTGTCTGAGAGAGTCTCATAAACATGAAAAATACAGCTTGAAAAAGTTACAATGACTAAACATAGAGGAAGAAACCTTGAGAGGAACCAACACTCAACAGGCGGTTGGTCAACACCAGAAAACAAAATAACACAGCAAGAGCAATATGAATAAAGGATAAATAACTTGCAATGAATGTACAGCAGAGAATGTAGAAAAAAAGAAATGTGCCTGTCATCGGATAGAAACGTTTCAATATACCAGCAATAACACATGACTACGGTACGAGGCCTATCACTACAACAAATCAGAAATATCTCTATGAAAACTAGTTCCTGACTAGAAACAGTGTTAGTGTCGCTGTTATAGATCAGTTAATGTCACTGCTGCATTCACTGTATTACTGTTACAATCACAGTCACTGTTACTGTCACTGTTAGAGGACAATCAGAGTAACAAATGAAAAAATAGATGTAAAACCAGTCACTCTGTCTGATTAGTGAGTGTTACTGTTATAGCCAGTGTCAACTGTTAGAGTCCTGTCAAAGTAACAAATGAGAAATAGCTATGAAACCAGTCACTGTTACTGACTAGTAACAGTGTTACAGTCACTGTTACTGTCACTGACTGTTAGAGGCCTGTCAAAGTAACAAATTAGAAATAGCTCTTGGAAAACCAGTGACTACTGTTAGAAGTGCATCACAGTAAATTCAGTGTAGTATTGTAGTGTCCCTCTACTGGCTCACGTTGCCAAGGGTGTGCGGGAGTCCTCTCTGATGCCACAGTATGTAGCAGGCGAACAATATCTAAGATTGAATACTCCTAGCCTAATACACACAATGCCTGGTTAAATAATCAAAAATAAACCCAAATAATTTCATTGACTTTTGAATGGATTTTTAGTGAAAATTTTCCAATTCAACTGACCACAACACAGTAATATGTGAAGATAAGTCTGTAAATAAAGTTTAGTTTTTAGAATGTCTGCTGCTGCCAGACTACTCTTTTAAAGCTAAGCATATTGTTTTATAATAGTGAAAACTGTGATCTATCAGTTATGAAACAAATGACATTTGAAGCAAAGAATGATTTCTGTTTTGAAAAAACAAACAACAATAACTTTTCACCAATTTCAAACTATAAAAAGATGTATCCAAAGATTTTCAAACAGAAATGTGGTGTATCTCAAAATTTCACAAAATGTAAAAAGAGGCATTTCAAGGCATGATAGATGTTGTAATTAAACTTCTTTTACATGAAGAAAAGTAAGGCCTACTACAGATTTCTTATGCATTTCAGGTTATGGTGGCCCTCTAAAGAACGTCCCACCTGAGAGATTCAATGCCACAGCTCTCCCCAAGTCCTACCACTCACCCTGGGAGGAGGCCATCATCAATGACCCCGCGCTGGCCGATACGCTCAAGCTCAAGATGCCTGTGCTTGAACCCAGAGCAGAGATGCCTGATTACAAGAGCTTCAACAGGTACAACAATTACTCCATCGATATACACAAATGCAAACTCGCTTATGGGAAGCATATTCCATTGAGTGGCAATACAGCTAATTGTACCACATACCCTGAAGTCTCTTTCTTTGCTTTAATTAGGGCTGTCGATCCCTATTCCAAGAGATGGAGATGGAATCGATTCTAGGAGTCAATTCCGAAAATAATTTTCTTGATTACTGATTCTAAACATCACTCACGTTACAGCTAGCTACCTCATGTCAGCTCTCCATATTAGCTAACTAGTTGGTGTGGATCACAGACTTACCACCATTAATTTGTTGTTAATGTAAACATTCAAGGCAGCTAAATTGCCAGTTTAATTAGCCAGCAAGGCAACTTGGAGAGCTAGTGCTAGCTAAACTAGCATAGGTATCTAATGGAGGCTAAACTACGACCTGATTCTTCTTTGTCAACTCATTTGATTAGGTATAATTAACAAGGAATTTCATGATTTTTAAAAACATTTTCTGCGTATTTCAAACGTAGAGATGTGAACAAAGTCATTCAGAGTGGTTTGATGTGAAATGCTTCATTGTAGAAGCTTACCAGTTCTTTAGTCTTTGCAGTGGTGGTAGGACCCAGGATTCACAATGTCTATATGTACATGTATATATGTGAACATGTGTATATATATATCTGTATTGTTTTTTTGGGGGGAGGGTTCATGTTATTTCAGAACTATTCCCTGAATCTCTGCCATGAATGGAACTCAAAACTATCATACAACAGTGTTTTAGGCATCAGGCAGTGTATTTGTAACTATTTCATGCAATGCTTTAAACTCCTTAGGCTTTAAACTCTTCTGATGTCTGGTTCCTATCACCACCACCGTGAACAATTCTTACTCTGTGAGTTCCTCTAAAATAGAACATTTCACATCAAAACACTTTAAATGACTTTGTTTATATTTTAAACTTTAATTATGCAGAAATTTTAAAAGATTGGTGGAATTCCCCTTTAATATGTTTCTGTATTGACAGTGGTGTTTGATTGTAAACTTCTTCTTTTTTTACGATTTTTTATTTAGTTTCCTGACAGAAAACTAAGTGCGGCCAACTTGAACATCATTGTGTAGAAATGAGTGCCTGGAATCCAGGAATCAGAGAATCGACTCTTTTTGGGAACGACTCCCCACCCTATTTCAATTAATCATTTGTACTTTTTTAATATTAAAATCCCTAAAACTGTAAAAAGTCTGTATGCGGCCCGCATTTCAGGTTCCCAAAATTATTTACTTTTTACAGAACGATAAAATTGAATATTTTGGACTGAATATTACAATTCAAGGCACTTGAATAGTTAATTCATCACTGGTAACTTCACTGGCATATAGATTGGACCTGTCATATAGGCTCACAGATGTTTGAACTGGTTTGTGGAGCTGTAGTTTGGTGGAGGCAGAGCAACATTTCTGCCCACCAGCTCCTTCTTGTGGTCAGCAGCTGCAGGGTCAGTCCACTGAGGACCAGTTTAACAAGTTCAGTCACAACATAAACTTTGTGCTGTGTAACATATTACAGCTGCCACAGGCGAGCTCAAGTTCTTCTGACATTGTCAGTTAGATCTTTTTTTTTATTTTCTTTTAGTTTAATCATTCATTTATGTTATTTTAGATATTTCAATCAGATTTATAGTAGCTCCAGCTCCCTATGTTCTGAGAAAAAGTAACTTACAACAGAAAAGGTAAAGGAAATGTAAATGGGGAACTGAATTAATCTTCTCCATTTAAAGGGCTCATTATACAAAACTGATTTTCCTCACTTTTTTCAATTCATTGTTTTTGTGATGTCATGAAAAACAATGTATTTACATATATCCACGTATTCACCTCATAGCAGTTTAGCCCTGCCCATTCACACTGATGCTATCAGGAGTGTTTCAGCCCACACAGCTGAAAAGCTGAAAAGGCAGCCAATTCGATCAGAGGTCATATACATATATCAGTCTTAAAGGATGCCTCCATGGAGGCGTCCATGTTTTTTCCCACTTTGCAGCACAAATGTATGAAATGTGAAAACAAGTTAATGAAGTCGTGGCCACAACGTAAATATCACAACTTTATTATCATGTTCATACACCTCACTAAGTCATGGCCAGGACTTAATTATCTCGTTCCCATGCCTTACTGAGTTGTGGCCATGATTTAATTATCCCATTCTCACACCTTACTAAGTTGTGGCCATGACTTTATTATCTTATTCTTATGCCTTACCAAGTTGTGGCCACAACATTCTTATGCTGTTTTCACACCTTAATAAGTCATGGTCATAACTTAGTAAAGTGTGGGAACAAGATAATTAAGTCATAGCCACAACTTAATAATGTCATTCTCACACTTAACTAAGTTGTGGCCATGATCGTTTCCATGCTTTACTAAGTTGTGGCCATGATTTAATAATCTCATTCTCACATTTGGCAAAGTTGTGGCCATGACTTATCATCTCATTCTCACACCTTAATAAGTCATGGCCCCAACTTAATTATCATGTCCTCACACCTTACTAAGCTGTGGCCATGACTTTATTATCTTATTCTTACACCTTACTAAGTTGTGGCCACAACATGCTTATCTTGTTTCCACACCTTAATAAGTCATGGCCATAACTTAGTAAAGTGTGGGAACAAGTTAATTAGTCAGAACTTAATAATCTCATTCTCACACTTAACTAAGGAGTGGCCATGACCGTTCCCATGTCTTACTAAGTTGTGGCCATGATTTTATTATCTCATCCTCACACTTAGATAAGTTATAGCCATGACTTAATTATCTCATTCTCAGGCCTTAATCGTAGCCATACTTTTGTCTGTTTTTTATATTAACAGTCATCTAGTGTCAAAAACCACATGCAAGTCTGTTTGAAATGACTTCACAACTCAACATGGTTTGAGATAAACATGTGAGCACTTAAACATGGAATTTGAACAATGCTAATTTGTGGCTATTCGCTTCCATTACTTGTTACCTGCATTAGCATCGTAGCTCCAATGCACACTTTGTTTTTTCCAGGGTGGCCACACCATACGGAGGCTTTGAGAAAGCCCCACGGGGAATCACCTTCAAGATCCCAGAGATAGACCTGAACCCCCCAAGATACCCCGAACTTCAAGACCCTGCGGCCAAGCGGCCCACCTTCAACCGGACCGCACAGGGCTGGATCTCTGATGGTGTGCCCATCATCCTCCCCACTGTCCCACTGGAGCCCCCCGAGATCCCTGAATCTGATGACCTGTAATTGCAACATGGCAGCCGTATTGTGGTAGAGGGTCTGAGCAGGGGTTGGCCCCCCAGCTGCTGCTCCAAAACCAGTTCTATTTCCTAATATTGAGTATGGGACTGAGGGAAACTGGTTTTGGAACAGTGCCATGGGCAACCTCTACATAGAGCAGTCTGGAGTGGGTGCCTCATTGCTTCAAGGGCTGATTGGTTTAACATGAATTGACTGCAAGAAAGTGTCAAATCTATCGGCAATGTAAGTATTGAAAGTTAGCAACGTTACTTAATACTACTCAATTACTACAAACTATCACATTGCATTAACAGCAGCAAGTGATAACTGAACAGGACATTAATATAACATCGCTGTCATATCAAAAACATGGAACTCTCACTGTGTGAAAATTACACGAGGAATGGACCAGTAGAAATGGTTCAGAATAAAATCTTGTTACATTAATGTACATTAAAGGTAAGATTGTTTTTTCCTCCTACTATTGTTACCATTTTGTCACTAGTGATGCGTATTTAAATCATAATAAATGTAACAAATATGACAGTGACAATATAATAAACATAATAAATATATACGTGTATTTCTGTCAGAATATATATAATAAACATATACAATTTGTATAGCACTGTGCAAATGACCACCCTTCATTTATTAAATTTCCAGTCAAAATGACCGTTAAGTACATTTTTCAGCATCAGAAAAAAAAACAAACTGAAAATTACATTGAAGCCTCAATAACTAATTTTTTTTTTCAGTAATTAGCATTCTTCATTGGGGCCTTGCTTTCACTTTTCAAAGAAATCTGCAGGGATATTTTCCCACACCTACAAAGTTCAGTCTTAGAAGTTGGTTACATTTTCTGCCTCTCAATCCAAGCAATCCCAAAATGCGTTTAGTGATGTTGAGGCCTCTGAGAACATCTTGACAGCTACACAACCTTTCAGAACCATAGTGTTCTTACAGTGGAGGGATGGACAGATGGACACCTATGGATTTTATCAGATCTGAAGCAAAAATGAAGCTTGATTTTCTCTCAAAAAAGTATCTTTAAAGCAACACTATGTAAGATTTGGGGATTTGGAGACCTCTCTGGTGGAAATGTGTAATTGCATGCAACATGTGAAAGAACATATTGTAACGTCGGTTGTGCTTCAGACCCCCACAAGTGGATGAATCTGAATTTTGCAAGTGTGTTGAAAGAGTATTTGAAGAGAACGTGTCTTCTGAGGATGTGAGTGAATTATCTACTATTGTCACCACATCTTCTTCAGTATAATGTTGATTTTGCATTTGAGACCTAAACATCTAGTTGCACCTTCTTTTTGAGTCTGTGCGTGTGATGTTAATACATCAAAAAGTAAGACATGGTCTGAAAAGCTCCCATCAAATCCGTCCCAATACCTCTGATTTTTAAAAGATTATGTCAGGCTTTAGAGGCTGACTTGCAGCAGTGCAAGCACACCATATTTTAGTGTGTTTTCATTATACTGGTTAATGCTATTCCTTTCAGTTTTAACAAAAAAAATTACACAGTGCTGCTTTAAGTTTTGTTTATGTGATGGGGACAGTTTGGGTGGTCCACCAGGTCTTGCACGGTTGTTAGGAGGCCCATTTTCTCCTGTTCTCCTATTTATTCACACATTTTTCAAATGACTTTCCCTTCCCCATGTAAGTGGATTATCTCCTTAGAAAAAGTTCCCAAAACTAAATAACTTGGTCAATTTGACTGAAAATTAAATAAATGAAGGGTAATCTCTGACTAGCACACTTACCATAACCAATTTTTTGTTGGAAAGGTGACAATACAGCACATCCTGTAATGCAGTAAGAAATATTCACTGAATAGTCATAGAATACTAGCATAACAAAATAGACATGAGCAATCCATATATCCATAAATAGATTTGAGAAGTACATATTATATTATGTTTTAAAGTTTGTAGCCACACATGTATCCTAGAAATAAACTGAATGTAACTAATGAATAATATAGAATAGCAATAGAATAGCAGAGTAGCAAAAAAAGCCTGAAACATCTACAACTCAATATCGATTTACATAAACCTCACCCAAACAGAACACAACAGTGTGTACTAGATTAGTTTGGTTGTAGTTGTGTGAGTGTATTAGAAATACATTGAATGTTAATAAAGAGCATTTATAATACCTTGCTGACTACTGAGGTGTACAGGACATATTAGAGTTGATAATGTGTACTTCAGTAAAGGAATGCTTCCAGAGCTTTTATTTAAGATTTTATTATGTATCATAATCAATATTTGTAATATTTATTGGATAATTAGATATTATTAGAGCCACTAACCGATATGTTGTTTGATTGTGAGTGATTTGTTTAAAAAGATATTAAACGTTTTAAAGGCGACGATAGGATGTTACAAAATGAGATTAGATTCAGTTTCATTAAGAGAGAGGGAAAAACATTGTAAATAGAACGTGTTGATTTTTTGAAGCTGGTTTTTACTGTAAAAAGTTGCTCTTTTGCAATTCATGTTGTGAAACTTGATGTGCTTTTTGGTGGTTGCTATTGTGTGTGTATTTAGTATGATGGAGATCTTATGCTTGTGCTGTAGTCTGAAATTATTTTAGAAGCTGTGGTGTAAACTCTGAAATAAAATGTGCATTTATTTCATGATGAAACAGTTTCAGCACAAAAATGTTCTAATTCAATTAAGTTCAAATAACCTGTTTTGTTGATTTCCTAGGTTAAAATGCACTCTTAGAAAAGATGGTTCATCAAGGGTTCTTTAGTAAAGGCAATGGTTCTATATAGAACCATGGATTCTATTTAGAACCATTTCATGCTTAAATGCACACTTAAAATGATGGGTTCTTTAATAAAGAAAATGGTTCCTTATAGAGCCATGAACATTCAAAGAACCCTTTGCATGATTAAAGGATTCTTTTGATTGTGGAAGTGTTGATTGTTGATTTGATTGTGCATTCTCCATCAATCTTCAGATTGATGGAGAATGTGCTGCAGATAGTTTTATATAGAACCTTTTTGGTGCTATATAGAACCCTTTTCAAAATGGTTCTATATAGAACTTTTACAACACATTGTCCATCAATCTGAAGAACCATTTTATGATTTCTTTACTAAAGAACCCTTGAAGAACCATCATTTTTCGAGACTGGTTCTTTGCATGGTGACGTGTCTTCAGAGCACTATATAAGTGTATATACATATGGAACCAAAAAGGGTTCTGCTATTGTTATGATGTCAGGCTTGTAACGTTAGAAGAACCATATGTAGAACCATTTTCAAAAAGGTTCTATATAGAACTCTCCATATAAATTCGCCATCATCAATCTTTAGTACCATTTCACCATGCAAGGAACCATTTAAGCATGAAATGGCTCTTTATAGAACTCATGGTTCTATATAGAGCCACTGCCTTTGCTAAAGAACCCATGAAGAACCATCTTTTTTAAGAGTGTATGTTAACACGTCTTCAACAGAAAACACACTTAAATGAATAAACTATAGATGAGTTCACGGTTTTCATGTCCAGCTCTCAGGCCATGTTCATCCGTCTGCAGCCTGCTCCAGTTACAACCTCAACAGTGCGAGACAGCTGCGTCTGTGTCCGCTAACACCAGCTATATTTAAAGGAGACATAAGTAGCTTTGCATCTGGCACTTACTGTGCTAGAGTTACAATAAGCAGACACTAGCGAGCTTCCAGACCATCAACAACTGCTTTTTGATTGCTTCCCTTTCCCCTCACCAAATACCTAACCTAGATTTCTCGCTATAAATTCTAATAAGTAGCTTCACATTTTGACTCACATAAGCAGAGCTCAGTCAGGCTTTATGTTTTTTACTGGAAATGACTTTTCGAGATCAATTACAGCACGTTGGAAAGTAAGTGTGAACATGTAATGCACCAGTGATTTAACATTTCGCTTAAAGAAAGCTTGTAACTTTGATCGAATTACAACAGCAGAACCCCTATATATACACCAAACAGCCCTTCAGTAAGTTCTCCTCCTTGTTTCTACACTCATTGTCCAATTGATCAGCTCCACTTACTATATAGGAGCACTTTGTAGTTCTACTATTACAGACTGAAGTCCATCTGTTTATCAGCATGTGTTGTTAGCTCCCATTCACTCTGTTCTTCAATGGTCAGGACCCCCAACAGAGCAGGTATTATTTGGGTGGCGTATCATTCTTAGTACTACAGTGACACTGATGTGGTGGTGGCGTGGCCTGCTTAGTGTGTGTTGCGCTGGTATGAGTGGATCAGACACAGCAGTTTTTAAACACCTCAGTGTCACTACTGGACTGAGAACCAAGCAAAAGAGTCCTGTGGGCAGCATCCTGTGACCCCTAATGAAGGACTATAGGATGACCAACACTAACTGTGCAGCAAAAGATGAACTATCGTCTCTGACTTTACATCTACAAGGTGGGCCAACAAGGTAGGTGTGTCTAACAGTGAGTCAAACTCTTAATAAACTGGGCTAATTGATTCTCAATAGCATTAGGGTTATGACTAGGTTTAGGTTTTGGGTTTGTGTAGAAGTTAAGGTCAAGGTTAGGCTTAGATTTAAAAGAATTGATTCCATTCAACTTGAAGTTTAGTTGTATTTAATAGATATTTAGTTTGAATGTTTGTTGAGGACAACATGAACATCTACAGGTGAACATTAGAATAAAGTGTAGCACAGAAATGGTTCTTCGAAGTGTCATGGTTCTATATGGAATCATTGCTTTTACCAAAGAGCATCTGGCCTCTTTGACTAAAATAAGGAAATGCAAGTGCAACTGATACCTGATTTCCCACTGACCAAACACTGTAGATCTTCAGTATTTTTAATTATGAAATCATGTATTATGTATTACCTGTTGAAATGTGGTTAGATTCATTGTATAGGGTGTACCCTGTCAAAACTTTCTACTGTGAATTAGTCGTAAGTTGGTTTATAAGCCAGTTTTCAACCTGTGAACACAACATGAAGACCAGCCCATCAATGACATATAAAGCTAATGAGGTCATGTGACCCCTGGGTTTCCTACAACAACAGAAGTCACATTTAGAGGTCAATTATGTCTGAAACACAATAATCACCCAAGCACTGCCATTAATTCACATTAGTTATGTTGATTTATTGATACATGCTGTTTTCGGTATTTAACGTAGTGCGTTTTTGGAGTTTAATCTGATCTGGGATCAGAAGCTGGAGCAGTTTGTGCCTGAAGCCTGTGTCAGCCTCATTACTCACACAACAATCACTGGCAAACACTAATTATAGCCCGCAAAATATGGATCGGACAGATTCATAAGGACTCATCAAGGCAAAACGCTGGCTCAAACAATGCTACACTGGGACTTATGGTCTATTATGCGTCCATGCACATTTAGATCAGGTGTTTGCAGCATTTAGCCAGAGATGAGGGAGGGAAGAAGTCCAAGGTGCAATAGAGGTCAACTTTATGAAAAAAATGATGCACTGAATTTACCTGAGTCAAACGCGTACCTCATTATAACAACTATCAACACAATCATGTCTGTATGTTGAATCACTGTTGGCAGTATTTGTATTGTATCAGCTACATTCAAAAAATGCACTGATGTATGAATGTAATTCAATTAGGCCACACATTTCCATTCAATTAAAGACAGTATAAACACATTCTGTTACTTCAGCATGAAGTTTAATTGTTGATAGACTTTTTTGTCCATTTTATATAAACCTGATACTTAAAGACAACACAATTCACTTGTTTAAAGGTGCAGTGTGCAAGGTTTAATGCCATCTAGTGGAAAGGTTGCTGATGAAGCAACCAACTGAATACAACACCCTTTCCAAGCGTGTAGTAGAACCTACGGTGGTCGTCAGGTTTTGGCGCATAAATGTAAAATTATCCTGGCAGTACTTGTGTTGGTAACTATGCCCATGACCATGTTCTAGCTAAAGCTATCAAACAACCAATTGATTGACAGGCTAAATTGTCCAGCAGGAAACAGGTAAGTTTTGCGTTACACTGAAACATTTATCCCTCTTTAGCAATTCCCATCTGGGAAAGGCCTCACTGATGTTTACCCTTGTTTGATGATGAGGACTCATGCTACCTTGCTTTTTCTTGTGCTAAATAAAAAGTATGATCCTCCATTTTTCAAAATTTGGGTTCTCAAACTTCTCACAACACAAAATGGTTAACCAGCACCAGCAGCAACAACTGATTCTTCTTCTTTCTACATCAAGTAAATATCTGAAAGGCGCTCTCTAGAGCCAGTGTTTGGTTTGTCTGTTCTGGGCTACTGTAGAAATCTGGCCACGCAACTTGGTGGCCTCTGTTGGAAGAGGACCCGCTCCATATGTAGATATGAAGGGCTCGTTCTAAACTAACTAAAACACAATTCGTAGTTACACTAATAAAAATGTGGTTTTGTATACTATGTTTCTGCTAATAGGTTTCTGTAAATCTTGCACACTGCACCTTGTAGGCACATTTTCAGTTTGTAAGTCCAACTACCCTATTAGTTTATTTTTCATGTGTAGGATCTTACAGGCCACCCCCAGGCTTCTTACTCCACCCATTAGCAACTAAATGTTTATCTTAGACTACTTTTTTTGAGATTTTAAAATCATAGGAAATAAATATATCATGTTTCAAGTTGTGAAGAATCTGAAATTGGTTAGAATGAATTAAATGTGTTATGAATAAGAGGGAGATAAACAGACACCAGATCTGTCTGTGTGCTGCTGATGGAATCTAACTGGTGAGGAATGCTGTTAAGAAACTGGAAACTGGTGAGTCATAGGTGTACAGTTGTGCCAGCATCTATATAAGGGGCCCAATAAAAATTTTAGGGGGTCCCGGTCACCGCAGGCTACCCTGTGTGATGGGCCAGAGTGCGACTGCCCTCCCTTCTCCTCAGTAGTTACACCACTGGTCCAAATGACTGTAATTATGCTCTTTGTTGTCTGGCATTAGCATTGTCGCATTGTCAAACATTAGCACTGTGCTGCAATTTAGGCAGTTTAATTTTACCCAAGAAAGACAACATTAGGGAAATAGAGGTGACAAAAGTCTTGTAGGCCTTAGCCAACTGCATAAACACTGCATAGGCCTCATTTAAAGGCTTCATTAAGCACAATATTCTCCACACCTTCTAACCAAGTTTAGTCTTAGAAGCTGGTTGCATTTTCTGCTGTTATCCAAGTAATCTGAAACACAATCAATGATGTTCAGGTCTGGACTCTGGGGTGGTCAGTTCATTGTTTTCGAGAACGCCAGAAGCTTCTTTAGTTGCTAATGTTCTTTTTGTGCCCGTTTCCTTTTTCAGCGAAGGCTTCTTGACAGCTACACGTCCTTTCAGACCTATAGCGCTGAGGTGTCTTCTCACAGTGGAAGGATAGATATGATTGATTTTTTTTATTTTTGAAGGAAGAGTGGAGCTTGATTTTCTCCTTTCTCTCAAAGATGAATGTACAGTTTATTTAATGGGGACAGTTTTGGTGGTCTACTACGTCTTGCAGATGGTTGTTAGGAGTCCCATTTCTCTGTAGCTTTTAATTTTATAACCTCAACAGTTTTGGAAACTCCTGTTTTTTTCACTCACTTTGCTTTGACTGGCTGTTTTGACTGGAAATTTACTAAATGAGGAGCTGTTCTTTGACTTTTACACTGTACTGTATATCATAACTCACCATTCAGGGTCAGAGATGTCTTTAGGAGTTAAACTGGGTCGCAAAAGATCTTTATTATAGCCAACCTATTTGAATGTTTCTAAAACCAGTCCAAGCTAAGATTGCTTTTGGTCATGTGATGTTTACAATTAATGGATAAATGCATAGACCTGCATTTCGTGCATATTGACTCAAGCACGTCCACAGTGAACTTCAGCAAACAGTGTACCATTCATATCTAATTTTTACTGCCCTTTGTATATAAAGAAAGCACATAACTGTAACAGCTGTATCTGCCGTACAATCTGTGTGGATGAGAACCATCTTCTTTTGTCCAAAGCTTTTAGATAGGCCATAAGCAGAGGGAATGTAAGGTGCGTTTTTAAAAGTAGGCCTGGAGCACAGCAGGCCACCCATGACATCAGCACAGAAGAAAAAGAGGTCGCTGTTCTCACGCCTTCTGTCAACTTTACCCAGACTTTATGGCTTAAAAGCACAGAAACGTTTCACTGTCAGCCGGTGTGGAGCAGAAATGGTCATGCAAGTATTAGCATAGGAGTTAGTATAGTCTTAAAGATGGTTCTTCGAGGGTTCTTTCGTAAAGACAATGGTTCTATTTAAAACCATGAGTTCTATGTAGAACCATTTCATGCTTAAATTGTTTTTGCATGGTGAAATCGTTCTTCAGATTGAGGGAGAATGTGTTGTGTATAGTTCTATATAGCACCAAAATGGGTTCTGCTATTAAGATGTCAAGCTTTACTCTTTAAAAAGAGGGTTCTTCAAGGGTTCTTTAGTGAAGACAGTGGTACAACATAGAACCAGGAACACTCCAAGAACCATTTGCATGCTTCAGAGGTTCTTTCTGTGGTTCTTCAGATTGATGGACAATGTGTTGTTTACAAAACGTTTTAAAAAATGGTTCTATATTGCACCAAAAAGCAGTTCTCAAAGTCTTAAAAAAGATGGTTCTTCTACAGGTTTTTAGTAAAGGCAATGGTTCTATTTAGAACCATGAGTTCCACATAGAACCAAGAGTTCTTCTATTGTTACAATGTCAAGCAACAGTAGAAGAACCCTTTTTGGTATTAAATGGATTTATATAGAACCATATACAACACCTCTCGTTCTCCATACGAAAAAAATATTAAAGCGCTAAGTGGTTCTATATAGAACTCATGGCCTTTATCAAAGAACCCTTTAAGAATCGTGTACCTTGGTCACGATGCACCTCCACGAGCTCTTTTGTGCTTCCTGCTTATAAAAAAGCTGCCCAGTGTGATTTCCCGCAGCACGTTTGCTCTTATGGGCCATAAAATAAGCTCAGATTAAGCTCTTACAGCGGAATACGCACCAGACAAACGCATCGCATCACACCGTCCAGTTTTATTCTTGTGGGATTGCAGTAAAGAGAGTAACCCAGGGGGGCGGAGTTTGACCCTGGTAACTCTGCGTTATTTATTTTTCCCCCACCCGTACTCGAACAAAGCCCCGCCTTTCCACGCTCTTATTGGTTCGTGACATCCGGCACACCGCGCTAGGATTGGCTAGTAGTATCGGCGGCCCTCCTGCCAGTATGAACTTACTAGCCAGTCTTAGCGCGGGAGGGCGGGGCTTGTTGGAATACAGGTGGGGAAAGAAAAATAACCGTTAGAACTCCCAATCCATCGGTACCGTTAATCCTATGCAGACTTTCGAGTGCTTGGAATCATTCATAGCTTTTCCCACAGTAAAAAACGGGCCACCGACGACGACGTTAAACGGATCAGCAGCGCACGTGAAAGCGCTAACATCCGTGTCTAGAGCAAGCTAGCCGACCGTGGATGTATTTTTTTGCTGAGGGAGACTGCGGACAAGCTAGCTCCGGTTATCGATGTGTTCTGGTTTCTGATTCAGACTTCGTCTTGTTGCAGTGACCCAAGACTCAGAAAAGGGGAAAACGGTTTATCGACCTCCTCTGGACTGTAATATTTTGAAGCCACTATTTCACGAGCAGCTTCGGAAATACTGTGCTGCCTTTTGGACACTCGAGGTGAGTCGTTAACGTTAGCTGATGAGAACTTCTCGTTTTGAGCGTATTTTAGCGATGTTCGACTCGTGAACGAATCGTTCTGCTGAACCGGCTCTTTTCAATAAGCCGACCGAACCGATTCACAAGGATAACTGAATCGAGCTTTCCACGCATCTACGCAGGGTTCACATCTGTGTTAAAGGTTTAAGACGTTTCATGTAATTCAAAAATATGTATATGTATTTTCACAATTCAGCGTTATAAAATTATAAAACGCCATTAAAGAAAGCTCGCTTAGGTTTTTTTTCGCTGTAGACCACAGCAGGCTTTCCCTTTGCCCTTTGTCGCATAAACTGTAACGTTATGCTATGCATATTTCCCCTAGCAGTATTTGTAGTCTTTGTATCATTCAGTGCTGCTATAACTTAAAGGTAGAGTCCACCAATTTTTCAAAATTCCTTTATAATTCGGTGGTTGAGATGTAAACAGTTTGATGCGAAGTGGTTCATTGTAGAGAAACTTAGATTTCTTTACAGTGGTGGTGATAGGAACCAGGGGGTAAAAATGTCTACTAAACAAATACAGCCATTTTATTTTCTATCCAGAACAACCAGTGAACCTACACAAGTCTACTGAGATTTATATGAAAGGTTTGTGATGGTAAATCTGAGAAAAAAAGTTTTCTTTGGGGACTATTTTACCTTGCAACACCCTACATGTGGGGTACATGCAGGGTGTTGCAAGGTAAATTATGAACTGAATTGATAAATATCAAATAAATTGATTAAAATACATAATACACAATAAGCCAAAACTGTATGTGTTAGACGTCAGGCAGTGTATTCATAAACATTTCATGTAATAACTTTATGTGAGGGAGCTTTTAGAGGTGGACGTCTGGTTCCTATCACCACCACTGTGAACAATTCTGACTCGGTAAGTTTCTCTAAAACGGAGCATTCCACATCAAACCACTCTGAATGACTTTGTTTACATCGCAACCAATACATTCTGTAGAATGAAAATCGGTGGAGTTCTCCTTTAACTTGACGAATCGGTTGAATCTGACGTTTGATTCATTGAAACGGACAGTTCAAAAGAATCGGTTCTGCAAAACTGAATCGAACTTACCATCACAAGTGTATTTGAGTTGAAAGTGGACCTTCGACACGCATGCGCTCTGTACAGGTGTAACAGTGCTGTGAGGATATTTGCCACCTCATATTTTATGACTTTTTTATTATTAAATGAGCTTGTGGATGTTCAGTAACATAATGTTGCACTGCAGTGGCGTTTGAACGGCTTTTTGAGGCACTTAAGGCAGTTTAGAGGAGGCAGAGGCGTCGCGTTCTGCAGACTTTGTCCACGTTAGTCAGGCGAGGAGGAATGTGCACATTAAACAGTTTGTGTGGAGTGAATGTGGCAGATACGACTCGGACTCAAAAACGCTTGTGGATGAAGTTCTTCTAAGAGACGAGTTACATATCGACAGTGTTAGAGCTTATGTGAGTATAGAAACATTCACAGTGCGGGTTAAATAACATTAAGAAAGACAGAGAGCTTTTTGTGATGATTTTTTCTATCTTATTGCCATTTTAGAGTCGAGGGACACACACTAACCTACATTTCTGTCAGAGCAATTAAATATATAGCTAGTTTCTAGAACTCTGAGCTGCACTGAAGTCATTCAGTTTTTGTGGGGGAAACTCAAGGAAAAAGACATTTAACCCGGTAAAAACCTGTACATATTTACTTTTTGTAAACCTAAGGAAAAATACGTGTAGTACTAGACGATGTACACCGACCTGCCACATCATTAAAACCACCTTCTTGTTTCTACACTCATTGTCCATTTTATCAGCCCCACTAACCATATAGGTGCACTTTGTAGTTCTACAGTTACAGACTGTAGTCCATCTGTTTCTCTGCATACTTTGTCCACTCTAATAGACACTCCTACCTTGTCAGTCCACCTTGTAGATGTAAAGTCAGAGACGATAGCTCATCTGCTGCTGTACAGTTTGTGTTGGTCATCCTCTAGTCCTTCATCAGTGGTCACAGGACGCTGTTGGCTGAATATTTTTGGTTCTCAGTCCCGCAGCGACACTGAGGTGTTTAAAAACTCTACCAGCACTGCTGTGTCTCATCCACTTGAACCAGCACAACACACCAACACCACCACATCAGTGTCACTGCAGTGCTGGGAATGATCCACCACCCAAATAATACTTGCGCTTTGGGGGTCCTGACCATTGAAGAACAGGGTGAAAGGGGGCTAACAAAGCATGCAAAGAAACAGATGGACTACAGTCTGTAATTGTAGAACTACAAAGTGGTCCTATATGGTAATTGGAGCTGATGAAATGACAGAGTGTAGAAACAAGGATGTGGACATAATGAAGTGGCTGGTCAGTGTGTAATTTATACAGCAGTATTTATACAAAGCATTATATCCACACTAATCTTCTGTTCCATTAAATAGCAATGTCCCTGTTGCCACAGTAACAACATGACGTAATGTTCACAAACAAAACAAAACAGGCCAATCAAAATGAGCTGTCTTGATTTTTAAGCTGTTCTTTTTGCATGGACTATCAGTACTTAGGAAGCATGGATTTATTGTATTTATTAATGCAAACATAAATATCATCTGACACCATGATATATTTGAAAAATACAGTATTTGCGTATTCAAAGTTTCCTCAGTTTTGTTAAATAATAAAATAATTTGATGCATTATGTAGCATGGTTAAGGTTTCAAATAGTCCATATATGAAAATTAAGCTGCCTGTTTTGAGTTCATTGTTTTTATGAGCACATTTATACATTCGCCTGCCTATTCAGCCTAACACAGTTTAGTCCCGCCCACTCATACTTAGGTTATAAGTTTCAGGAGTTCCATTTTAGGCTGAATGAGGCCAGTGAGCCAATACAAGGTGGCCAATCAGAACTGAGCTGATTTACAGATCAGGCTTAAAGGCAGAGTAACAAAAACAGCCTGTAAAAGTGGTCATATAATAATGAAATACTTAAATGGATTTCAAGGGAAAAAAAAAACAGGAAAATTATACAACCCTTTAATGTAATCAGTATCATTCAATATCAGTTTCATTTGCCTTACTGTTAAAGTTTAATGTGATCGACTTGGAAGAATAATAAAAAATGAAGCGAGAGAGAGTGAGGTGGCAGCAATTTTGGGTACATTTTCCCACTCTGGGTTTTTATAAGAGACAGAAAGGCATTTGCTCCAGGAATCAAATAGAAAGACTTATATTAAGACTGAGCAAGTAAGTGTGCTAGTGTCTTGATAACGGTTAAAAAGCGGCACTTGCTGTAGAAGCCTGCGGATCTGCAGCCCACACTTCTCGTGCTGTAGCCATGGCGATGTTCCAGAGTGTGATTTTAACAGTAATATACTGCGACACTGCGGCAACAGGTTTTACACTGGCTCTGACCCCAAGCCCGCAGTGTTTACGGCTGCTGTATCCATTCCAACTCTGCGCCACACCAGCTCGCTTCACCAATAAATCTTCCTTCTTAACAAAGCTGGATGCCTAATTAGTGAAATCAGATGCTGTGGTGCATGGCTGGAACTAATAGCTCTATGCAATCCTGTGACCCTCCATGGGTTGACTTTTTCAGCCCCTGTGTTTTAAATGCCCAGGATGAGCGTCGCCTAAACTGTAGTCAGTTATTACTGTTGTTTTGGTGTACTACTTAAATGTACACTGAAAAAAAGTAAATATACATATAATACATATAATATAAAATCAACAATGTTATTGGCAAAATAAGTATACAAAGACAAAATTGTTTTGATGTGATGTCGTTTATTGGCGTGGAAATGTACACATTTCAGTCAAAGTTAGTTTAGTGCAATTTTTTTTAGTGTTATTATGCACAACACAATACTGTATGCAGATCATAATTAAATCTCCTCTTCTCTTCTACTTATCTGTTAATTAAAAGTTTAGAATCTGTGCTTTGCTTGTTTGCTTGTTTGCAGCTACAAGTGACAATTTCTGTGTCAAATGGTGTCAGTTTTTTTTGGCCCAAATTATAGAAGTATGTTTATTGCATACATTGTATTTAAATTCATCAAGCAGGCTTCAGTACCAAAAACAGCCAGATGCTGCTTTTTGCCCCCCACGTCCACTTATTTATTTACTTCCTAGCAGTCAAATCGGGACCATGCTTTTAAATTTTTTGAAGCTGTGTGCTTTAGAATAATTCTCAGTGTCTTCCTGAATGTCTGCTTGACAGAACATCACTTCTTTTTGAAATATCATGCTCAGGTCATACAAATCCTTTCTTCCAGTCCACTCTGAACTTAATACTTTTGTAGTCATCATTGTTATCCAGTCCTTTTTATTGCAATTGCAGCAGGCTATTAAGAAATGCTCTATAAAAGTTCTAGAAAGAAGTTGTAACTTGTCATCATGATAGGTGTTGCGGTGGTAATTTTAATGTTACTGCTTGCAAATTCTGACGAAATCTAATTGTATTCTATTAGTTTTGTGTCTTACCAAATTGGCATGGGAAGGTGAAAAGTAATTGTTGTGTTTTAGTAATAGTGGATATATGTGAATGTGTGAGAAATCAGCTTTTCTGGCTGTTTTAGCACAAAGGCATCTGCATTTTTTAGTGGCCGAATTGTGAAATGTGTTGGCTGGGGGCGCTGGAAAAAAAGGGTGGGCAATATGATAATGTTATCATGATCGATCATGACACAATATTTTTTCTCACCTCATCAGGAACAGCGTCCAACTGCATGTTTCATTTCAAAGGGAGCATAATTGGGCCTGTTTTATTGCATTTAGTGCAGTGCGGTATGTGAGCTGTTGAATAAATAATAATTGGACGTTTATAATAATAATATTGTTTAAATGTGGTGCTACTAGTGTTTTTCAAACATCTCAAACCTCAAAAAAGTCATTATTGTTATGTGTATCGTGAAAACGTCGAAGTGTCTTGGTGTTTTATTTTTGGCCACCCCTCCTGGGGAATGCCCTGGTGCCATGCTTTTGTTACTGCCTGCAATTATTGACTTTTATGGCTCGAGAAAAACAGCAGAACTGTTTTAGCCGTATTTTACTAACATGTGCACCTCCTGCCCGGCACTGTGTTCATCCTGAGCCCATTCATAATTACCAAGAAGTCTCTTTTGCGCAACACAAACAGCGCATGACACCCAGTCATGGATTACTGCAGTGAAAGTGATGGCGTTTGTTGTCGAATCTCGGCCAACAGATTAACAAATCAAACACTGAAGCATTTCTCACAGTAAAGTCGTCAGTGAAATATAAACAGTACTTGGGAACAATAAAGTAGTCCGTTTTAAACAGCAGGATAAATATACTTATTCCAGAGAAGTCCAACTTTATATTAATGAGATGTCTTCTTATGGCAGATGTGAAAGCCTAGGCATGTTTGGTTTGGTGAAGTTCGCTTCATTAGTTTGTACTGAACCTTCAAGCCTCTGTAGCAAACAAGTAGAAACAAGAAAAGCTTATTACTCACCGATTAGCGTCATAGATGATCATACGTGCATGCCTAGATCGTCACACACTTGCCTCAAACTGCATAGAATTGTTGAGTAATCACAAATGGACTTGCTTATGTGGTTTCTGACTGTATAACATGCTGCTATTGACAGATTTACACGTTACATTGCTAAAAACAGTAGTATTCTCGCCATACTGACGCCTAAGTTTTGTCTGTTTGCCGTTACCGAGTGATGACTTGCCTGACCAGCTACATTAATGGTTCTTTGCTGAACTGTGCTTTTAAAAAGAAGAAAGTCCAGAAGTACTTCACACACTCCTCCTGTCCTGTTACTGTGTGAAAATAGTGCGGCAGGACTTTTATTTATTCACTTAATGACTCACATATGTATGTCATGTGGTGAAACCCATTGAAACGACTTCTTGACAGATTAGCCGTGATGGGGGGCTATTAACCCACTTGCTTCTCCACTCTTCTCTTTCCAAGAATGGAGCAAAGCTTAATCATCTAGCCAGTTGCCTAGAAGTAGCACTCACATGGGATTAACCTACAATCTACTTTAGGGTAGAGTATCTCCAAACACAGATTAACATCTTCCTTTAGCCGAAACCTTCTAAGTATAATGTTACGTGTTCTTACTTTGATGAGTAGTGTGGACAGTAAGTGGACCTGATGACCCCGAGTAGACTCGAATACAGAAATACCAGTTGCTGGTTGGCAGATGCTTTCACAGATAGGATAACTACACAAATGTAAGGTGGCAAATACCAGTAAGATTTAGAAATGCTGTCTACTTCTGTATTGTCTTACTTGAAATCAAAGCATTTCCACACCTCACACCACACCACAGTTTGTTTCAGGTTGTTGGGCATTGCCCACTGCATTCTACATTGGATTTGGTAGTAAACGCCTTCACGGCTTACCTTTACTGTGGAAACGTTTCATCCTATACATCCTATATAGGCTATAGCTAATAATAGCCTGGTAACTAGCTCACACTCACAAATCTTTCCCACACCGACATACCATGTAGTGAAGAGGAGAAAAAATCATTTCCTGAGCCTCAGCAAATCTTCTGAGGCGGGGGTGCTTACATTCAGGTTTTACTTCTATTGCACAGTGTAGCAGCTATTTTGAAGGTGTGAAAAATGAGCAAGAATAGCTAAGCGGCTAAGGCCTTTGGGTTCTGTGGTCCCTACCATTTCTCTGACCATTACAACCCTGTGCTTAAGCGATTCATTTAAGGAAAGTTGCTGCAGTGGTGCTCTACAAACATTTCAACCCTTATCTAGCTACTGCTGAATGAAAACTAACAAAGGCCACTTACTATTATGCAAAAGAAACTTTCAGAGACTCATTCAGGGTTTTCTTCCTTTCTATAATGTAGCAACTATTTTGGAAATTTGGAAAATATCATAAATTTCCCTCAGCACTAACTGTGGGCTAAGGGTTCTACAGTCCCTGCCCTTTTCCTCATTGCTACCTGTGTCCTTAAGCATGGCTGTTTAACTACAAGTTCTCCAAGTGCTCCACTGGTGCTTTAGAAACAGTTAAGACAGCAAATTCTGCTGAAGTTGAATGAAAGATAGCAAGGGACACTTAACATTATTTAAAACAGATTGTGTAACTTGTTGCCATTAGCTTCCAACCCATGTTACTTTTGTTGTTACTCTAATAAAGCGCCTGTCATCACAGTTCCTCTTAGGAGCAGGTGATATAACGATATGATCGTTGTGATAAATGATATAGCTATAAGCTTTTCTGAGGATATTGAAAGAATCTTCCAACCAATTAATTGTTAAATTAAAATGAGTTTAAGAAGAGGCTCCAAAACAGCATGACTATCTAAGGTTTTGCCCTAAAGTCAGGACGATGTAGTATGGTAAATGTTGTTTACAATTTGTTGTTGAATCTAATTTGATAAACCGCGTATCAAAAATATATCACGTATAGTTCAAATGTCTTCAAGTATTGTGACATTATATTTTAGCCATATTGGCCTTATTATAGGATTTGTGTGCATATTCTTCATGTACTTTTTCCGGTTCTAAAAAGGTAAAATGAGTGCAAAGCTTTTAAATCTGTAAACCCCGAATAGCAGAAGTTAAAGGAGCATACTTCAGTGAGGCGGAGGAGGGTGTTAGCAGACTCTACGGTTCAGATGTTAGAAAGTCTGGCATGATATTATATCTTGGCAGTATCTCTAATCCCTCTTAACATTGAAAGTGAACTCAGAAAGGGGTGTCTGGTGCAATGTTTGGACCTGGCCTCGCCTCTCCTGTAGAGCTGAACCGGCAAAAAACATCAGGGCGCTCAGCAAATGTTTTACGGCCTATTGATCCCAGGGGCCTGAACGATGATAAGGAAAGCCTCAAAGTGCCCAGAGGGATTTAGCATAAGCATAACCAAGGAAATATGAAGGACATGGATCAGGTTTACGCTTAAATAAAGCCTTATTATTTCTACAAACGTAGCAAGTTTGCATCAGTTGCTCTGTACAGTAACAATAGCTGGGTTATTGTCACAGTTCATTTTGCTAAACAGCTGCTCTAGTCTGAAGTGGCTTTCTATTTAACAACCATTGATTTTCTTCTCCTTTATCCACCCCTCCCTCTCTCTGTCAATCATGGCAGGTCATTCTTTGTGGCCAATGTTCCGGCCCTTGGCTCTGAAACGTCCCTATGGATGAGTTGCTGATTGACCTGTGCTGACCCTATCAGGAAAGCCCTGGAGAAAAATGGATTTATCCCACTCTCCATCTCCCTTCTCCTTTTCCAATTGTATGCTAATGCCAGGGTTTTCCCTCAGACAGAGACTACACAGCACGTCCATCATTCAATCTGCAGGATTAGCAAAGAAGCAATACGTGACAGCCTGTGGCTAGACATCATGTGCTCGCGTAAATCTGTATTGGGCTAGGACGCTTGCATTTGGGACACTTCCTCCATCCCAATGGTGTGCAGTCAAATTCTGCTCCCTCCAAAAACTTTTCTTCATTGTAGCTGTTTCTACCAATTAGGACTGCTGCCAGAGCATTGTGGGATTGTCATCTCTGTCAGGCACAGGGACTGCTGGGTACAGATGTTGCCCAAGACGGACAAAGACACTTGTTGTTTCCTTAATAAGTGACTTCTTCTGACCTCTGGAAAGGGGCGGGCTTGTGCCCCATGGCATGGGTCAAGCTGTTCAGGAAGCCAGGGACCGGCAGTGTTGGCACAGGGGGACCTGGTGGGCCAGGCCTGGGGAAGTCTTATCAGCCAGGCAGCATGCTCTCGCTGGCCCTCACCAAAGGCCTCCTCAATGAGCCAGGCCAGAACAGCTGCTTCCTAAACAGCGCCGTGCAGGTGAGTTAAGCTGAAAGATTAATTTTTATATATCAAAATCGCAAAATTCAGTCTGTTTGTTGTTGCACACCTTGCATTAAACATGTGCTTAATGTGTTACGCAAGGTTCAAAGCTAGTAAAATTTCTATGCTGAGCCATGATTCTTTGCGAACTGTGGCCCAGAAACCAGGACCGAACCGAACGATGAAAAGGGTGAACAGTTACACCTCCACTAAGAATATAAAGCTTGTGAACTGAACAGACCTCTGTGTTGGGTACATGGCAACACAAACACAACTAACTGCCAGTCTGGTGTACTATATTCAGTGTTCAAGCCCTTTAGGCTCAAGGCCTAAAAAGATGGATGTGCTGGTTTCCTTGGCCAAAAATAATAGGCCTGAACCTCAATCATAGAAAATAATTGCAATTACAATCACAGTCAGAATACTAAGCAGAAGAAATCGCAGTTAAAGATTTTGCCCAGATCTTTCAGTCCTACATCTGAAAGTGTGCTGGGTAAAGACCAGATAAGTAATCATTAGTTACCAACCTTCCTACAATGGGTAGTTCCACCCTGGCCCCACAGTCTTTTTCAGAGGGCCTTTACAAGCTGAATGAGGTTTCAGTTGGAGAAGAACTTTCCAGGTTACAGGAATAATGACCACTGGTTTAAATGGATAATCAGAATAAACAATGCTGCTACGTGTAGCTGGATGCTGACATTTACCATGGAAAAATTTTCATTGGTAATTCTCCATTGACACTGAAATTTAGTCCAAGATTAGGCTTAATCCATGTCTGTGAAATTGGCACATAGACTCAAATTTCTACATTCTCCATTGCTTGCCTGTTAGAGCTATAAATTAAAAATTAGAAGTTAAATCATTTAATTCCCATGCTTCTTATCTTCTCAACAGAAAGTTCTGAATATGAAAGCAACATTATCACAAGCCTACTTTATTACCGGAACCACATCGATGTTACACCCTGCTGTAGGATTGTGAATGTGATACTCAGTTGCACTGAGCCGTTTTGTTCACGTAGGTTCTGTGGCAGCTGGACATCTTCAGGAGGAGTCTGAGGCAGCTGTCTGCCCACTTCTGCCTCGGCGACGCCTGCATCTTCTGTGCTTTAAAGGTCAGTATGTAAACACATACAGCAAGTGACCTGTCACTGATATGGCCTGATGATAGCTTTGAATGCTGTAGACATGATTGAGATTGTGTGTGGTGTTTTTGCTAATTTAGGTCACTCTGTCGTGATATTTTATGATTTGATAGCAAAAGAAAATTAGTCTATTCAATTTCCCCTTACCCCAGATGTAACTGATCAACCAAGACATGTTTGGTGTGTGAAGTTTTCTTCTATAATTTTGCACTGGAGCTATAGTGCTAACGTAGCTAACAAATAATGGAAATTACTTTCATCATGTGGGCTGCGATGCGATTATAAAACGATTCTCGATGCATCTTTTTTTTTTCTATACCACATTCTATTTTCTCACTGTCTGAGGACTTGGTACTTTTAAAACAAAGTATTTGTAATGATCCATAATGAATTTACTTCCAGTGTCTTTTATTAATAAATCAAATGGAAGTGATGTGGTTAGTGAATTAGAAGGCTCTCAATCACTGCTCTTGTTTGGAGCACGAGACGCTGCTGCAACTCATCTGCGATAAAATGCAGTTACGGTGAAATAAGATCCAGTGGTGATGGGTTTCCACGCAGCATGTTACAACTGTCCTACCCGTTTTCTTTAGTGATTTTATAACTTCGGTTTTGGTCTGGTTGTAGAGACGGGAGTGCTGTGTCAGTAAAATATCTTCGAGACGGGGCGTGTGCAACACCGCGCGAAAGCCCTGTTTCGCAACGTGCAGACTGCAGGTCACATAGCAACGATGCGTTATTCGCGTTTATAAGCAGCGCAGTTGGCTTCCTGGTCAGTTAAATCTGCAGCAACAGACAGTCAAACACTAAAAAGTTGCGAAGCTGAAGTCGCTTCTCTTTCAAATTCTCCCGTTCCACCTTAAATGGTGCCACATTTAGGTTACATTCGGCACCTCAGTCAGAATTTAAGGTGGAACGGGAAAATTCGAACAAGAAGCTGGAGAATAAGAAGCGACTTCAGCCTCGGAAAACAGTCGAGCGATGAGAGACATTTTAGAAGAAACTATTGAGCTTTTGAGTAAAAGTTTCCTGAGGGAAAGGGGAGGAAAGCAGCTATAGTTAAAGCTTAAAGCAGAGTAAAGTAAATCTGTGCTCTCTTTATATTGTTTAGCTTATACTAGGACATTAATACATACTGGACATTAAATGTTGTGGCTCCCAAGCTGGTTTGATTTTTGTTGAAAGGACAAAATGGCTCTTCTTATCATTTGGGTTGTGACTCCTGACCTAACCTGGCTTTTAACGCAGAGGGAGCCGGTCGAATTTCACGCTCATCCAGTAGTGTTTTTGTTATGTGCCGCCACAGACTGTCCGGGTGCTGCACTTACCCACTTCCAAGTTCCGCCTTTTACGTTCCGTCAACATTACGTTATAAAATCGGAAATCGTTTTTTGACATTTGTGAATCAATTCAGAATCGTTCACGTCCGCATCGCGATGCATCTAAGAATCTAAAAATCTAAGAATCGATTTTTTTTTCCTGCACCCCTATTCCTTTGTAATATAACATATCGAATGTATTAGTTTGTGAACTGCTAGTTTTTGTCTGCTAGCACCTTCACCTAAAGTAAGACTTTTTTTGTTTCGCTCTCTGTGGTTAAGTCAGTATCTGTCCATTAACTCTTATGGATACTCAAGTATTAAAATTCAGTTAGAATACACATCCCTGGTTTGCACAGTGGTAATTGGTGGAGTGTAGTTCAGCTTCCATTACTTGTTACCTACATTAGCCTCTTAGTTCCAGTGCAAAACTAAAGAAGCAGACTTCAGACATCAAACATGACTCGGGGTAAAATTGGCGGTAAGAGAGAAAACTCTCTAAATTTGAATTCTATCACAATTGTTTCAAAATAATGGTATCATTTAATTTTGAGCAATAGCTGTTTCTCTATTGCTCTGTATCAATAAAACATGCTCTTCTTCTCTTCCCCTGTGTCACTGCAGAGTATCTTCAGTCAGTTCCAGCAGAGTCGGGAGCGGGCATTGCCGTCGGACACCCTGCGGCACGCGCTGGCCGAGACCTTTAAGGATGAACAGCGTTTCCAGCTGGGCCTCATGGACGACGCTGCCGAATGCTTCGTATGTCACCTTATGGCAGACTGAATAGAAATGCTATGCTGCTTTCACATTATTATGAACTTTTAATTTCCAGTTTCTTTTTATTTTTTTAATTGGAGATCTGACACCAGGTACCTGAGAAAAGCCAGAGAAAATCGTTTAGAAAATCTGCGTCCAATGCCCGTGTTGAAAGCACATCTGCGGCTTCATCCGCTGTAATCTGAATCTCCAGGCTAGCTGCTTTGCTCACAGCACGGCTTCACCACGTCTACCAGGCCCGCTAGCCTCTTTTAGTGGCAGACTAAGGAGTAACAGCACACTGCATGCACGGGTTAACTAGTGCTTAATGGACGTGGTCTAACTCGAGGTACAAAGGGCATACATCGTGGCCGATGTTGAGGGCGCTATTTGCAGCCACCCTGGGAAAGCGTTATGTTGACTGCTGTGAGGGATGTCAGGCGCCCAAGCTGAGACGGTATACATTTCCACATTTTAACAGTGCAATGTATTGCGGTGTCGCCATGCCACGCTGAAAGTCGTTCCATTTTTAAAAGAGAAGAAATCTTTAGATTGGGCTGTTTTGAGTTCATTCGTCCAATTACTTTTATGTTGAAGAGCATGAATATGGGTGGAGTGGTGGGTTAAAGCATGTTGCAGTTTGCCTTTATTGATAGCCTATATTTAGCCCCCCCCCCCAAAATTATCCAAATTGCAAAATTAAAAGCTGAATACTTATCCATTGAATGAATGTCCGCATAATTGAAAATTCGGGTCCAAAATGTTTTGCTGTAATATATTCTATTCATGTGTAATTATGTTCAGTCTAGTAAATTCAGTGCATCACTTTTTTCAGTTTACTTGCTTATATTGTTGACATTTTCTGATGGAAACAGTTGCTGTAAATTCACATTTATGAGCCAAAGAGAGCTGAAACTCAGACAACCAGCTTCCGAAGCCTCATGCATTCACTTTGATGCACAATTTTATAATGTGAATCATATATAATATGCTTGGACTGTGTCTTATTAGATTTATGAAGATATTAAATAAATATAGCCTTTATTTTTATTGATGTGAGTAGTCAACTTTAACCACAAACTCTCTCTACCTCTCTGCCCTAAATAGATTTTTGTTTTAAGTGGTATATTTTTTCTTCCTGACCCCGTTATATAATGACAAGATGGGAGTGCTAATAATATCAACAATGATATAAGAAGTAATCGTACTGCTAAGAATAGCTACAATAAATCCATTGTAATTATACTTAGAATAGATGAAGGATCCTTCAGCTTGGTTGTCTGGGCCTCTTTTTCTGGATGACAGGAGAACATCCTGGAGAGGATCCACCTGCACTTGGTGTCCGACTCGGCAGCTGAAATATGCACCTCAAAGTCCTGCATCACACATCAGAAGTTTGCCATGACTCTCTATGAACAGGTACTATGTTTTAGCATGTCCTTTTAGGCCAGTTTTGTCCACCTCTCAATAACATGCTCTGTCATAGTGCTGCACAATATATTGTTTGTGTTTTATTGTCGTGATACTGGCATTTACAATACTGATGCTGCAGAAGGCTGCAGTATGCAAATAAGGCCTCTAACCAATTAGAATGTTTTTACTCTTCGGTGTGAGAAGATTAAACATATCAGGAAACTAGTTTAGAGCTTATAAATGCAAATAAGTCAGTTTGTCTCCAAATAGTCGATGTAAATCTTTATTTTTGCCATTTCATTAGCTACTAGTTAGGCAAGAACCACGTGTTGCCGACCTCTGGTATAGTTTAAATAGATAATATATACACTCATTTGGTTAGAACATGAAGCCACTGCACTCACTGGATCTCGGTGATGAAAATTAGAAACTACAGAAGATGGAAATCACATGATTTTCTTGTTCAGTTTTACTCTGCATTCACATAATGAAGGTAATGTTATTAAATTACTGAAACTAATAAATACATTCTGATGAAGTGTTTTTGCCCACTTATATAGCTAAAAGTAAATGCACTGCATTTTAAATGGAAAAGTCTTTCTTTCTTCTTTTGTTATTGTGCCTTTAAGATATATGTGTGTGTAAATGAGCTCTGTTTGGATTTGTTGCCCTGTATTGTGCCTCATTTAAAAAGCAGTCTGCAGTGAAACACTCCTTATAACATCACTGTGATTGTGCAGAGCTAAACTGTAATGGGATGAATAGACAGATGTCGTGACATCACAAAAACAATGAATTCACAACAGGCTGTTTTTGCAGCTTAGTTTCTTTATATGGACTGCATGGACTGGGAAGTGAATGGTATGCTCTGAATTGTAAACAATGTTTGCATTCTGCATCAAACTCTTTTTTAATACTAAGTGTGCAAATTTAGATTTTCCATGTAACATCTTTTTCTTATAAGGGTGATATAGTTTTTAGCAGGCCATTGAACAGCTTGTCGTTCACAATAAAGTATGTGTAGCATAGAGTATATAAATGCAGTGTTATCAGCTGCTCAGTACTGATCGCAGTGTCTGTTCCGCAGTTTGTGTGCCGGAGTTGCGGAGCGTCGTCGGACCCTCTCCCCTTTACAGAGCTTGTGCACTACGTCTCCACCACGGCCCTCTGGTGAGCCATCATCCACCAGACCATCCACCATCTCCACCTCTTTGGAATGCCTATAAAACATGACATTTACCACAGAAACTTCAGTATAAGAATGCCAAATCCAAACAAACATTCCTCATGTTTTGGACATGTATTGTAGCTCAGTACAGATTAATGCTGAAAAAGCATTTTAAAAGGAATGGTTTGGCAAAAAGAAATCACACATTTTCCACTTATGTCAAATGCAGTCTATCGGCCAAGACATATAAGTTCTATCAACCTTCTTTAGTTTTGCTCTGGGGCTTTGAGGCTAATGTAGCTAACAAGTTTGAAAATGAACACACTGACGTACATTTATTATATGAAAGTTATTTGTATGTATTGTAACAGTGTTTTTCTGAGCTAATAAACATCTACTACACATTTAAACATGTTTATATATAGATAGATAAAGTTTTTTTTCTATAAATTTCACACTGTACTGTATGTCTTGGCTGATCGAGGGACAATTCTTCCCTTTAAACATTACTTGAACATCAGCACATGATGTGAATGGCATTTTTTGACATTTTTTTGGCATTATTTTATGCTCTGTTTGTAGCCAACAAGTGGAGCGCGTGCTGGAGAGAACAGACAGGCTGAGGTCTGATATGTTTGGGGAACTGCTGCAGGCAGCAAACACCATCGGAGACCTCCGCAACTGCCCTGTAGGTCTCCCTCTCTTAACTCTGCTTTCTTCTTCCAATGTATTTGTGAATAAAAAGTGCTTCCACCTGTTCTGATCACACCTTACAGTAGGTGTACCATCACATCTATCTCTATGGACTTCATTGATATTCTGTGTATATAGTAACAATGGCATTTAGTTTTGTTAAAAATTCAAATTCCACAAACACATAAAGATCTGAAAATTAATTAAAAGGAAAAAAATAAGGAATAATGTTCTTCATTGAAGAAAGTGATGCATTTAACTGATTTTATTGTTTCAACCTGAAGAAAAGCTCAGTTTTGTCCCTCAGTTTACTTACTTTCCATGATAATTGTGTTTATTTATATTTATTCATGTGAATGATTAATCAAGTCATTTCAGTGTATCACTTTCTTGCGTGAAAAATAGCCAGTCCTATTATTGGACAACAGCTGCCTTTTACATTGTGTTAAAATTTTACAATAAATGGACCAAAGAAATGCTCCAAAATTGCTTGTGAAAAAATATTTTTTATTGACTTCCAGTATATGTTATAATGAAAAGTTACAATGCCAGAGATAAGAGGTTTTGTTCTGACAGAGATGTTGAGTGTTAATACTTTGGCATCAGCAGAAATGTACACGAAAATATCAGGACTCGGCCTCTGCCCACAATTCCCATATGGAATATTTGCGGATTCCTCCGACAGACAGAAAAGTTCAACATTATTAATCCTGAAAGAGATCATAGCATTACAGAAGCAGCAAAAGAACTGTGCACATCATGTACATATATTAGGAGGACTTATAAATTCCACGCAAGTTATGAGTTACAAGACCGTTAAAAACACTGAGTTCATAAATCTGAGCTTGAATGAAACTGTATTGCAATATGCAGTATTTACATACAGTATACATTACATTGACGTAGCCATCCATGAGATTTTTTTTTAAACAGTGCAAGTGAATGTTTTACACATGTATCACAGCTGCACAGTATATCTTCATCAAATGTTATTGCAGCATTGACTCTTGCAGAAGGTTGAAATATGCAAATGAACACTTACATAAATCATCAAATGTGCTGTGAGTATCTTGAACATCACTGGATGTTACTGTTATGTTTCTTTGGGCATTTTGATGAATGTGGTGATCCAACAGTGCTAAATAATCTTGGTCAACATAGGAGTGGGCAATATGACAATATTTTATCGATACTGTGATAAATCGTGTCACAGTGAGCTTTTCTGAGCGTATCATGGAAATCAGTAGTACTTAAAGCATGATAAAAGTGAATGATCAGCCCTGTTACATTGGATTTAATGCAGTGCAGTTTGTGAAACATTGAATAAAAATATTAAACTTGTAGGGTTATTATCATTATTATTATTATTATTATTATTAGTATTATTATTATTATGTGGCAGTACAAGTAATTGAATCTCAGAAAAACTAAATATTGTGATGCTTGTCATGTATTTTTCTTGAAATGTCATGATATATTTTTGCCCCAGGTCAACGTAATTAACTTTGTAAGAGTGAGATGTGTTTAATGTATTGCAGCAGCTTAAATGCAATATGGTCTTTTGTCCATCTCGTCCAGCCCTATATTTGTGCATTGTTGCAGATGAGATAATGAAGAGTGCAGAATAGGTACAAATAAGTGAGAATATGTATAAATACCGAAATACTAAATGCTTCTTTCTTTGCCTGCAAAACATCTCCATTAATTCAGCTGTGTTCACCTCTTTTTATGTTCATTTGGTCATTAGATAGATGCACCTGAACACCAATGCTGCAACACTGTGTAGGTGCTTAAGACCCAAACATGGTTTATATCTGCTGAATCAGCCTCGAGCCTGTCTTCAACTCAGTGCCAGCGATGACATAACAGCGGGTCATGTGACGGTCTATATTTACTGTAGCTCTCTAGGGGATGACACGTGTTTCCGAGGATATGCCTCGGACATCCGAGCACATGTTTCTGTATTTCACTTGAGCATCACCATTTTCACTTACTGCTGCTTTTCTGTTTTTCATTTACTGTTATTCTATGTGTGGCACAAAACCAGTGGACAATTTGCCATTCAAGCAGCCAATGAAATGAGAATATTTCCTGTAATCAACTAGAAATGTTTTTTTTTTTTATGAGAACAAAATGCAGTCTTTCACTGTCACGGCACATTGTGCCTTTCAGTTTCACAGAAGTAACACAATTTGTAGTAGTTACCAAATGATGGGTCCCAAATCAATAACTGAAGAGGAGCTTAAAGAGTTAAAGTGAGTTTTCTACAAGCTACACAGGACAGAGATCATCTAATCACTTATGCTCTGTAATAGCTGTCCTTAACGCTATAACTCTTTTGGGAAATTTAACACTTCTACTCATAGCTGATCAGTTGATTTTGACAGATGTTAGGCACATAACGGCAGCTGTCCAGTTGTTTTCTGAAAGTTGTCCACTGTGGCAAAGCAGGCCCGCAGCATAAGCTGCCAGTCGTTTGTAGTGGTTATAAATAGAGCGCTGTTGCTCTCTCGTCTCCGTTGGCAACTGCAGGAGACTGGGCTCTGCTGCTTTATTAGTGCGTCTTTTGGACGTGGCCGCTAAACCTGGTTACCTTTCTGGCTGTCAGAGAGTGGATATTTGCAGACTCAGATAGCCAGCAGCAATTATAGACCTGCAGTTTCAGGGCATGATGCACCCGCTAACGTCTTTCGTTAACTCTTGTTGTGCTAGCGTAACACCGAAGTAGCCAGTGTTGTGCTAGCAAACAGCTAGCTAGCCTATCATTTAACTGTTCAGTAAACTTTTACATGACGCACCTTAAAAAAGCAAACTTATGACAGGTAATGTTATATTAGTTAGCGTTGTGCTAGTATTACAGTTAGCTAGTATAATGTTTTACAGTCAAGTAAGCTACTACTTAATGACTTCTCATTCTTAAGTAGAAGTTACATGTGACATTTGAATGTTATACTAGCTATTATACAACAGTTAGTTCCAGCCACGCAAGCTGATTGGTTGAGAAGCGTTCTAACCGTGCTGCTATTTCGCCATAACATCATGTTTTTTTCCCCAAATACTGTATCACTCCACTGAGACGCTGTTGCTAAGCGACAACTTTGACAACTGTAGGAGACGTTTTTACTTCTTACTTTGTGCACTAACAGAAAGCGGTTACTTTTAAGATCACATTTGACCGACAGCCGATTTGGTCAGACTCTGAAGATGAGACTACACTAAATTCCCAAACTGTCATCACCACCAAGCAAGCTTTTCAGTTGGCAGCTGTGGCAGAAGAACACCTAAACAACCTGGAATTAGCCAGAAATGAACCAAATACCATTCGTCAAACAAAATGGGCTGTAAGATGCTTTACAGACTGGCTGGAACAAAACAACATTAATATTGATCTAGCAAAAATTGACAAAACTGAACTAAACTTGATACTGCGGCAGTTTTATGCTGTTAGATAGTTTGATTTGGTCAGACTTTCAGAATTTAGTGTAAGGAGCTGAACAAAGAACTTCTGGCTGTGCAGCGAGTGAGCGGAGTTCGTTACTCTGACGTAGCAACAAGCTGCTTGTTAAGGAAGGAACTGCTAACATTAAAAATTAAATGCCACGTTCATGGCCCAATTTATTTATTTCTTACTTTATTTAACTGTTGTATAAAAGCAGTAGAACACTCAAGGTCATGTGTTACTGTGACCAAATCACAGCCGTGATGTTATTTCGCGATAACACACTCCCTCTCATGTTCTATTGCTTAAGTGTGGTGGCAGCATATCAGTTAGCTAGTGCAACATTTTACAGACAAGTACATTTCTTAGCTTAGAATAACTGAACACTCTTGAGTAGAAGTTAACTTGCGACTGTTAAATGTTATACCAGCCAGTGTTGTGCTATGTTGTGCTAGCATAACAGCTAGGATAACATTTAACTATCCAGTAAACTTCTGCTTCAGATAATTTGACTCATTTGAGTCATTCTAAGTTAATTCCACATTTTCGCCTTTTGTATTTAAGGGTAGTGTTTTACAAACCTAGTTAATAACTATGTTACGTAACTTACCTTGGTGTAGCTAGCTAGCTAATAACTTGGCTAGTAACTCTATTTGTAACCACTAGGAGTCTGTTTTTCTCTCTTGCCCTTTCTCTTTCTTTCTTTCTTTCTTTCTTTCTTTGCTTTCTTCTTCTGTCCTCTGCCTTCTCAGTGGTACTGGTACTGCAGAAAAGCATTTAATTGTTCACTTGTTTTTAATTTTTTTCTAGTGTCGGGCATTTTCCCTTAATCACTTATATACCTCCCTTTTTGCCTCATTGCTGCAAGTGTAGAACAACTTGAGAAATGAGTGAGGGTGGCAAATTTTGGTGTCCTTGTGTCTTACAGTGTCCTTATAAGACCATGAAGCTGGAGGTTTTGACAAAAACAAATGAGGCGTAGGTGTCATGATGAAAACCTTGACCTTTCCTTCAGTTTGTTTCGTCTGGTGTTAATCCTAAACACACCCTTTTCCTCCTGGTTCTCAGAGCAACTGTGGGCAGAGTATTAAGATCCGCCGTGTTCTGATGAACTGCCCTGAGATCGTCACCATCGGCTTTGTGTGGGACGCAGAACAGTCTGACCTGACCGAAGACGTCATCCGCTCACTCGGACCACACCTTAATCTTTCAGGGGTACGGCCCATTCACCACATCCACCTTACATTACAATAAACATTTCTGTTTAGACCTGAAAGAAACATATTAAAGGAATAGTTTGGAGAGAAATCTGTTATCCAAATTTTCTTTTTTATCCAGACGTAGTCAATCATCCAAGACACATTTGGTTATTAGTTGTACTACTTATTAGCTACATTAGCCCTGTAGTTGGCCAAACATGTCTAAGTGGGTGAACTCCATTTGGGGTAAGACCAAAATGGTGTAAATTTGATTATTCCGTTTCTTTCGACACTCGCATGTAGACCTAAATGGATAGCGTTAACACTGATGTTAATGATTTGCCAGTGACTCTGATTAGCATTCCTCCATTTGTTAGCAATGGTTAGAGATGGATAGGTATGAAACTCTACATGGCAGCTCAGATATCTGGATGTAGTTTATAGCTTTGTGTTTTATGAAACAGGTCTGTTTGACCTCTGCATTGTAGTCGGCAGCCTCTGAAGTGCCTGTAGCCTATAGCATATATTTTTTCAGGTCACTACATCAAAACAGCTCTTGCTATATGTCCTCTGGTCAGATAATAGACCTTGGCACATTCATGACACAGCCATGCACGCTGTGACATTTCTTCCCCTGCTGAAGGCAGTTCTTCTTCTGTTCTTGTCACAATGTAATGGTTGCACTCGAGGCAGCATAGCCATTATGGTTGCTAAACAGTAAGTTTCAATTATTAATGATTGATTTTATAGTTAATCACACATGCACTCTACATGACATTCTCTCTCTCTGCTCGCTCTGTGTAAGTGCAAAATGTATGACCCTTGAGATTAATCTGTAGCTGTAGAATGTGTTGGTACTAGCTAAGGAGCTGACCATACTCTGCTCCCATTTGAATATAAATTACAGCTCTGTTGCTTCAGCTAGAGACCAGCTAGGTGATAGCATGACAGTTGGGAATTGTTTATGGCCCTGGAGCTTCAGGTTTGCACGCACACTTAAGATACCAGATATGAGATGCCCACTTGACCATAAATGTATTCCTTTCCTTCTCATTTATTTTGCATGTGTTAATACTCTTTATATTCAAATCAGAGTTAAGTATAGTCAGTTGATTCTACCTTTTTAGTACTTTGTTAACCAGTGAAAATGGACCAGCACCCTTTTGGGGACTATTTAACCTCCTGTAATCCTTATTTCAAGCAGTGATGCTTATGCTTTCGCCAAGAGGCCTCTTCCTGGTCAAAATACTTTAATAAACATATTACTTGGGAATTTGAATTGTATTTAACATATTTTATATGTATTAGAAACTGCAATGACAACATGCCATATAGATAGAGATTTCCTGTATGATGCCATATAGATAATTCATTTTGACCTTTTTGCACAACACATATGCAAATGAAAATATTTTCAGGATGCAGAATGTGGCTTCAGACTTGTGCCCTTCAAAATCTTAAGTTAGCAAAACACTTATGTCACCAGTGCTAGCATAATATATAGGTAGCTATCGAGTATAACTTTTAGCTGTCTGTTCGCTACCTGTCTCGCTGTCTCTACTTAAGAAAGTTTGACACATCTGAGCTTTTCTGACTCTAAATGGTCTGTTTTTCTTTGTTTTTAACGGTAGAAACAAACATGCACACAATGACATTTCTTAGCCTGCAGCTATTCTTCTTACCCTGTCATACTGTAACAGACCTGCACAACATAGACAAGTTAAAACTCATTATCATTCCATAAATTTGAAGTCTTGTCTTCCCTCAGACTGTCTTCTGTCTTCTGTTCCTCTAGCTCTTCTACCGAGTCACTGATGAAAATGCCAAAAAAAGAGATCTTCACCTGGTGGGCATGATCTGCTACTCCAGCCGCCATTACCTAGCCTTCGCCTATCACAGCAAGTCTTCCAAATGGGTCTTTTTCGATGATGCCACAGTAAAAGAGGTCATTATATCAATTAAGCATGAATCCTTGCATTATTTCAGTTTGTAGTCAATCAGTCAAGACATACTTTTTTTTGGACTGGAGTTATAAGGGCAATGTGGCTAACAAGCAGTGGAAGCTAATATTGCACCAGTTAGCGTCATGCTACTGTATGTGTAAATGATGTGCTTTCTGACACTGTATGGCATATTGTTATCTCTACAAATGAGCAGAAAATGACCATTTGCTATCCTTGTCTTCATTGGTTACTCTTGCTACATCTTTCAAAACCCGCCAAAAGAGTGCTCAAAGGCAGGGTAGATTTTTTACTTTGTGAATTTTTTAAGTTTGGAAAGCTTGTCAGATGTGCCTGGGCCCTGTTACAGTTGCTTAGCCACAATTAGACACTCTGTATTTATAAGGGGGGTTTTGCAAAAGATCAATTATGCCATATAGCTAAAAACAATAGTAGCAGTCATCTTGAAGCCTGAATTTTGTGTGGACTATTTTACAGACAAAACTGTTGTTAGTGACATTAGCCTACTGCAGAACTAAAGAAATCATTATGATCCATAATGAATTTGCTTCCAGTATCTTTTATTAATAAATCAAATGGAAGTGATGTGGCAAATGAACTGGAAGGCTCTCATTCACTGCTCTGGTTTGGAGCACGTGAGACGCTGCTGCCACTCATCTGCGATAAAATGCTCAGTTATGGTGAAATAAGATCCAGTGGTAACGGATGTCCACGCAGCACACGATGGGATGTGTGCAACATAGCATGAAAGCCCTGTTTCGCAACGACTGAGAATTGGTGTGCAGACTGCAGGTCACTTTGAAATGATGCGTTATTCGCCTTTATAAGCAGCGCATTTGGTTTCCTGGTACGTTAAATCTGCAATGAGAGACTGTGACATACTAAACAGTTGCGAAGATGAAGTCGCTTCTCTTTGGAATTGTGCAGCAGCTAAATTCGGCGCCTGAGTCAGAATTTAAGGTGGAACAGGAAAATTTGAACAAGAAGCTGGAGAATGAGAAGCGACTTCAGCCTCATAAAACAGTCGAACGCTGAGAGACATTTTACAATAAGCCGATCTACTTTTGAGGAAAAGTTTTCTGGCGGAAAGGGGAGGAAAGCGGCTATAGCTGAAGGTTAAAGTAGAGCAAAGTAAATCTGCGCTCGCGTTTATATTTTTAGCCTATACTAGGACCTTAACACATACTGAGACATACTGGACATCAAATGTTGTGGCTCCCAATGTGGTTTGATTTTTGTTGAAAGGACAAAATGTCTCTTCTTAACATATGTGTTGTGACTCCTGACCTAACCTGGCTTTTAACGCAGAGGCTGCCGGTCGGATTTCTCACTCATCCATTAGTGTTTTTGTTATGTGCCGCCACAGACTGTCTGGGCGCTGCACTTACCCACTTCCAAGTTCCGCCTTTTGCGTTGCATCAACATCACGTTATAAATTAAATATTTAGAAAATCGATTTTTGACCTTTGTGAATCGATTTCAGAATCGTTCACGTCCGCATCTAAGAATCGATTTTTTCCCGCACCCCTAATATTTACACTGATTTATTACTAAAGCAATGTTTTCTGTGTAATTTTAAAAGCTGCTCCACTTGGTTCTGTCTAGATTGGTTCCAAATGGAAAGACGTAGCATCCAAATGTATCCGGGGTCATTTCCAACCGCTGCTTCTGTTCTATGCCAACCCGGATGGTACTGCTGTATCCAATGAGGATGCCCCCCGACAAACCACCATGTGGTCCCAATACAAGTCTCCCCTCAATGGGGAGGGCACAGGTAAGAGTACCCAGCTTTTACACTGCCTGTCGAATGCTTGGGGACACCTTCTCTTCTTTTTTTTATATACGTAATGTTTGATTTTTACTTTGATTACTTTTCAATTAATGGGAACCAGTCATGCTGTCAAACAGATGCTCAATCCTGATCATCTTTAGAACAAGATTATGACATTTTGCGATATAGTTCAAAATATATTGAACTGTTTTATTCCAGAATCTGTAAAGCTTGATTCCTACATCTTCCAGAGGTCCTTGTACTGTTTCACTTTCTGGGGGCGTGGCTATATCGGCTCTGCACTAGCATGTCCACGCCCCCTCATCTACTACAATTCAGTTAGCATTGCGACTTCAGTAAGGATGTTTTCTGTGGAATTAGCAAACGTGCGAACGAGAGCCAGAAGAAAAGCCAGTCTTTACTGCACACTGCTGAAAGACTGTGAAAGTTGCTGCTGCTATAAATAACAGCGATGAAGCGCATCATTTGTTCAGAGAACTAAAACACTTCAAGACAGAAGATTTTAAGAAGGATATCAAGAAGTTGGACTTTTGAACCAGCGTCAATTCCAGACTGGAACTCAGTATTTCCATGGATGCTCGAAAGAAAGAGAAAACCTGAGGTAAGCTGTCGGTAATAACTGAGCTAACACTGCTTTAGCTGCTAGAAAGTGTGCTTGTTTGATAGAATTACGGCTCAGCAAAGCTACCTGAAATATATTGAGGGAAATCCATGTTGCATTCATACGCTGATTTCACAGACTTCTGCAGCTGTCGTTGTCTCTTTTCTAGGGCTTCCAACATGAACTTAGGATAAAATTGTATGGTTTTATGGTAGTTCTGGATCAACTCTGAAAATGTGAAAGTGTTGCCATATAAAAATATACATGTAGTCAACTCCAAATGCTGAGCGATTGAGTGTAAGTTTGGAGGGGTTGAATCAGTGAGCAGTGTATAGACTGTGCATGTCATGTCACCTTGGTGATTTTTTGGGAGCTGAGACCTCTCTGGTTGATACATGACCAGAGATGTCACTGGTCCAGTTTTACAGCACTCATCTTCATGTTAATCAAGGTGTACAGCTTGAAATGAAGGGCAGGTTTTTCTCTAAGTAATGATTTGACTGTTTTCTAAACAGTTTGCTAAAAGCCCGAAGGCGATTTAAACCTCTGAGAGTCCTAATGAGTGCTGACATCTAAACAAGGGGATAGATTATGTGGGATTTGACAGTATTAATAAGGTATGACTTTTGTCAGTTGTTCCTTCTGCTTTGTAGTTTTTACAGAGTAAAAAAAAGATTTTTTTAATGTGATATTTTTGCAAATGAAGAAATTCTTATTTGTATTATATTTGTTTTTTTCCAAACTTTTGATGGCCAGTGTGCCTAGATACAGGTTAACACTAACCAAGCTGTTTATTGATTTGGCTGTAATTGCTATTGATCTGTTTCATTTTCTCTTCATAAATGGCCATAAAGCCACTCTGTTTTGTTTGTGAAGTCGTTTGTGTTGATTGATATGATCCGTATGCAATTAAAGCCACACTGCTTGTTTTGTGAAGCTGTTTTGTGTCAAATGATACAATCAGTATGCAGTTACTCTGGGGGACAAACGAGAAATCTTTTCACTTCTTTATGAGCTCAGTGTAACTGCTGCATCCTCCATGAAAGTGGGTCAAGTAAGACTTGTTTAAAAAACGTAAGCTATAAATGAACCATTTGCCGTTTTAAATTGTGATGAAAATTAAGTATAAATGATGCATCCAGGCCTATGAATTTGTTTCCAAGGGAAGAAATATACCTGCAGAGAGTTGTTTCCACTTTACAACAGACCGAGTGATGTGGGTGCGTCTTGTATTCCTTTTAATCTGTCTCATAAATTCACGAATGACACGGAACAAACAGGACAAATATAGCAGCATTGTTTTAGGATGACTTTAAAACCCAAGAGACTTGTCCAAGACGGCTTGTTCAGCTGGTCCACAGTCTCAGAATAGCATGGATTCAGGCAGTGCACAGTTAAATAAGCATTTTAACAGCACATATTGGTATTATGGTACACTGTGTGTGTAAACTTATCCAGACAGCCTGTCGAATTAGTGAATTCAGCTACTTTAAGGTGCACCCATTGCTGACACAAGTGTTCGATGTCACATCCACTGCTTGTATAATCTAAAAGCACTGCCAATAGAATGCCTCCTATCAATACCCTTGACTTCAGAAGAAGCATTGAATGAGCAGGTTTCAGCAAACCTTTGGATATTATGTATGTTTAACAGGCAGCAGCATCTATTAATGTGTTCCAATAGAATATTTGTTCATTTCATCCTGTCTAAAGCATACAGAGCTCTGTACCGGTGTCAATACCTAGTGCATGTGCCTTACATACTGTGGATATTTTGTGCTATAGATGCCTGAACGTGGAGCAAGTGTAACACCGGCACCCCCGCTTTTATGCTTTTTATGCCCCACGTTTTATTCAAATAAAAATGACTTGTAGTGTAAATAAATGCATGAGTGTGGGTTTATCAAATACAAATACACTTCTTTGTAATTTACATTTTTTTTAAAGACTTGTCAACAGAACTATGTGGCAAATAAGTGAAAACAGCTAGCTGTCATCCTGTTAATGTTGATTTAGCAAGATAGCTAGATTGATACACTAAATGCAGTGTTTGGCGTTAGCAATGTTAGTTAGCTGTTGTTAGCTAGTTTTTACTTGCATTTTTTATGATTATTAATTAGTCATCAAAAAAAAAAAGTTTTATTTATATAGCGCTTTCCAAAGCTCAAGGTCGCTTTACAGATCTTCCAAATGAGGCCAGCAGAAAAGTAGCAAATGCTAATAATTATTATTCTAGTTACAGCAAATCTTTTCTTACAGTCAGTTCCAACAGAATTTCAATTAAGTTCTAGTTAAAGGTAGTGCCTCAAGCCTTGACTCATCATTAAGTAAACAGAAATTCAGTGCTAGCACAGCAAACCTAGGCTAATTTTTATTAAGCTTAGCAGGCCTTGCCTTTCTGTTAACAGAAATTCAGCTATTCTAGTTCAACATAGCACAGCAAGCCTTGACTTACTGTTAACTTGACTGAAATTCTGTTCAGTTCTAGTTTAACTTAGCACAGCAGGCCTTGGCTTTCTGTAAACTAAATAGAAATTCAGATATGTTCTAGTTCAGCTTAGCACACCAAGCTAGCACAGCTAGCCTTGACTTTTTGTTAAGGGAAATTCTGCTAAGTTTTAGTTATTAGTTAACACCCCCCCATCCCCCCCACCCGCCCCGGATTGCTGTCCCACCACCACACAGATTCAGACGCTTGTGTATTCTCATACAGTTTGTGTCTGTATATTGTATATACTTGATATTTATATTCTGTGCTGTGCTTTTATGTAAGCGCTAGTTTCAGCAACACAAGCTCCTCATACATGCAAGTGTACTTGGCCAATAACATGATTCTGAATCAGATTATAAAAGACAGACGAGCGTTTAAAGAGCAGCAGGACGTTATATAAGTTAGAGTTTCGGCCATGTTCCATTTGGTGCTCTGACTTTTTTCTGCACAAATCCCCTTTTTCCTCCCTCTTTACCTCGAGCATTCGTTCGCTGGATGGATGCGTGGCTCTGAACTTCACTGAGGACAGAGATTATCACCCACACACTAGCCCTCTCTCACTCGCTCTCTCTCTCTCTCTGTCTCCCTCTCATCTGTCACTTACGCTCTTTCTCATACCCTTTCTCTTTTATTCAGCATCTCTTCTCTCTCTGTTTCTTTCTATCATTCTCTCTCTTTTGTTTTTTCTCTCTCTCTTTCTCTCTATCCTAATCCTTACCGCCGGGCCTAGCACTGCGTACTCCCCTCTCTCTCTGTCTGAATTTTCCTTCTATCCTCAGTCCCATCCCGCATTTCTTCTGCTTTGAGCACAAAACAACTCGCTAAAATGGACATTCTCCCTCGAGTCGCGTACCCACAGTCCTCCTTGGCCATGGGAGGCCATCGCTATTTCTCTATGGGTCTCTGTAAGTACTCGCATCTTTAGCTGGTTTTTGGTTCTATTAAACCTTTAAACTGCAGGCATATTATTCAGTTATGAATCTGAAGATCTGTTCATCAGTGACAGTGATGAATTATTCTATTATTCTATAACTAGTGATTATGAATTATTCTATAACTCCTACAAACTAATATCTAATGTATGTAGTAGGGCTGAACAATATTGGGGGCCAAAGTCACATTGCAGACTTTTGTGATAATTATGAAATTTTGATTTAAATGTGTCTATCAGTCATATGAATCAAGTATACTGTATTAACATAAGAATTTGGGAACAGAACTAAACTGAAAGACAAAGTTGTGTTGATGTAACATGTTTTATTTATGTAAAACTGATAAATGCATTTGAATCAGGCAGAATCAAAAAAACACTCTTTTGTTACTCTAGCAATTGAAAGTGCATGTGTAGAGGGGGAACTGAATACTTTGGCTAAGGCTGCACGTAGGTGTAAAGTTCACTGCCATGTACTGTACATGTTATGACTCGTAGCATATCAAAACACAGTGGTGAATAAGTAAAGTGGCATGGACCAAAATAATTTCCTTTTTATGAAAAAGCTTTCATGAATCAAAATATGGATGGTAGAAACGACTGAGGCCATCTCATTCTTCTGGAAGCCTCATGTCTGAAGCTGAAGTTTTGAAGTTTGAAACAAACTTTTTTGAACATTCCAGTCGTGTGAAAAACCAGGTTTGAAAACATAGAATCGATCAGAGCCATTGATTGTTTCTGCCTAAATGGTAGGGGTAAGCGACATGGCAACAAACATTATGATACTTCCAGACATTTTCAGGATGCACAATATGCATCACGATAATTCATTTTTCTGAGGTTTAATAAGTTTGAAAAACACTAGTAATGCCACATTTAAACAATAGGGCCCATCACTACAGTAGACTGTGGAAAACATTGTGATTTGTTATAAGATGCATTTGCATATTGTAGCCTTC